ACCAAGAGTAACAGTAAAAAGATAATTGAACTAATCCATTATTATTTAATTACACAATGTCAAGTGTGATGCATTATGGGTCAAAATCCATGCGGCTGATTTTTATAGATAAGATATATATTGTGTTATGGTTGTGTAACACAATTTGAATTCAAGTCATACTGGGAGAGAACACTTCTTGTACCTCGTCTGCCTCTTTCCATTGAGAAGCTGTTGTGCCATCACTGAAACTTTATCAGCCTCTGTGGTGACAACGCGTAGCTGATCCAGGAGGCTGGTTGGTGGGAACTCCTTTGTTTCTGCCTGCTCCACCAGGCTGTGAAGCTCTTCCAAACCTGACCGGAAAGCAGTACAAACTCTCAGAAAGTATAAAATATAATACATTGCGTATCTCCTTAAAATGAAAGAGAGGTAAAGGCATTTTTTAACATCAGCTTCTAACCTCTTTTCTTGTTTCCTTTGTTCTCCAGGATTTCCTGCACGTTGCAGACCCAGTCTTTATAGGACTCTGCACGCTGCGTCACTGATGTCATCATGGAATACAACTCATCCAGCATAAACTTGTAGCTGCAGGAGACAAGACAAAACAAAGCAATGGATATACAATGTTTATTGACATTTCTCGTAGGTGACAAGTTTTTTGTGATCATAATTGTTGTCAAAGTATGTGATTTTGTGTAAATGTATTTACTTTATTTACATTTAATATAAAAATACAAGCTCCTTTTATGATAAAAAAGAAAATCCTTATCTATGTAGCCTTTAGCAAGAAAAAAGGGGGTAGCTTAACCGATGCTGTTCAGTTGTCGTGGCTACTGAAGACTCACCGGAGCGTAAGGTTGCTACGAGGGCAGGAGCAGAGGTCCTGGGCGTGGTACAGGCAAACCATCTTATCAGGACTGCAGGCACAGGTGATGCCAGACAGGTAGCAGGTGGTCCGACACTTGCAGCACTGCTGCTCCTCATCTGGGAGCACCTCATAATCAACTTGTCGCGATTGCACCACACCCTGGGGACGCAATTTCACACTCATTAGAGCTTCAGGGGAGACAGAGGAAGTAAATGAGACAGATGTGCAAACAAATAGTCTTCCAGTGTAAATCTTCTATTACGATAAATGGCTTCAAAAGTTCCAATTTATCTCTTGATGCAATAATTTAGGATATACCAGCTTTACTATGACTGCCTCACAGGAGCTAATACAACAAACTGAGACCATTCAGAGTCATAAAACTCAACAACTGGCTCTGTTCAGTGTTTTTTTGCAATAATTTAGACCATAGAGAAAGTCTATTCATTGTGCCATATCAACTGTTTGTAAGGTAACTTTCCATATAAAGGCAAATTACCTCCACGATGTCTATTATATGTGCTAAAATACTAAAACTACTGTGTATCCTGCCATCATTGAGCTTACTTTAATCTTAATTTTGAATGAATAAAAATAAAACAACAGATCCTGAAGATAAGAACTACTCACCATCTTCTTTATCTTCTCTCTTAGTTTCTCTTCTTCGTAAACCATGATGGTCATCTCCTTCTGCACTGCTGCTGCCAGGTCGACATCCATTGTTTCTGCTTTACAGGCCATGTTACAAACCATCTCATCGTGGGAGAAGACGCAGTACCTGCTCAGCTCGCGATAGTGAGCCACACAGTTACGGCCAATGGGCATCTGTCAGAAAAAATACAGTCGGGTTTGAGTTAGGAGTGATGGGCCAACAGGAGGAAGAACAACAACAACAACAACAACAACAACAACAACAACAACAACGACAACGACAACCCTCTACTTGTGAAAATCAGATTTTTGTACCATACAGTACAGTACACACTTACAGTACACAACATTTATTTAAATTCTGTGACACATTAAACCCATTGCTGATCATTATTGGAAAACCAACCAAACCAAAACCACGATTCTGCAGCAGAAAGTCTTTAGAGGGTGTGTGGTACATAGGGACTACATTTGGTAAATATAATCTGGTACTGTGCAAACAAAGACAAACAGATTTTCTTACCCAGTCCATGGTGCAAAAATTGACAGCTTCAGCAAAGTTGAAACCCTGGTTGAATCCACTGTGGTAAGCTCTGGGGAAAGTGATCACAAACTCGCCTGCACATTGGTTGGTGCGATAGATCTGGTTAAAGGTAAGAAAAGAAAGAAACATTACAAGGCACAAGGATTAACCATTCCTGTTTTTACAATAAAGAGGATACTAACTACTTACTACAAGTAAGGAATTCTGTCATCACACTATGAATAAATAAAGATCCAACTTGTTTCAGACCTTTAAATGTGATGATTAATAAATGAAGTGTAACAGAAGGTTACCGGGACGCCGTTGTTCATCAGCGTGTTGGGATTCATGATGGTGACCAGCTGGTGAAGGAGGTCTGGCTGGGACTCGAACAGCTCAGGTGCCAGATTCTTCATGACTGACTCAAGGTGCTCTGCAGCGTAACCAGGGGCCCCATACCACGTCTTTGGCTCCCCCCTGCGCATATGATCAAAGCGATTAGTAAAAAACACTTAATACCAGACTGTAACCTAGTCTACAATAAAACTTATAATAAATGCACAATGGATTTCAGAGAGTGCTCTCTACCAGTGAAGGTAGTTTATGGAGTAGCTCCAGTGGTCTTCAATGTGCCAGCAGAACGAGGAGAAGCACATGCCCACATATAGCCAGGGTAACTTCATCCCACAGATGTCGGCTGTAACGTGAGTCAGCACCGAGGCATCCAGGACCGGCATGTTGTTCAGGTTCCAGCCGCTGCTCAGGTAATGCTGCAGGTCAGAGACAGGTCTCAACACTCCACGTCTTACTCAAATATAGCCCTGTTCAGTTTACAGCATTACAGTAGTTATCAATGGGAAACGTCATCATAACAGAATATCAGTGCTGTTCTTCCCCAGCTATCAGTCGAAAACTGACATTGCTTTAAGGAAATACTGAGTTATTTTGACAACATCGTCTGTAGAAGTTATTTTTTCTTTGATGATCATTGTATATTAATTATTGTGGGCAGACATGTGGTATGACCCGTATTTTTAGAGTTTCAGTGAATTCAGTTCAAATACACCAAGTTACAGAGAACTTGGTGTATTTGGTGTAAACAGAGTTCAAATATAGAATTTCAATAAATATACCAAATATACAAAATGCCAAAACTACTGTGTATATTTTAGATTTGCACCTTGACGCTAGTCAAATATAATATCATCCTAATATCATCCCCATAATAGCAGACAGATTGTACCTCATCCTCAGGAGATACTTCAAAATGGCCATTCCTCACAGGGAAACCACTCCCAAACTCCTTGGAGGCGATATCTGCTCCATACTCGACGGTTACATCCTCCTCAATGGTGCTGACTAGACGCCAGAACTCCTTCTCCACTAGTTCAGTGGGAACCATCTAAAATACACAAATAAAAGATGGTGGGATTGTGTGCCGTATCAACACTAATCTAGATACCAAAGCTAGTTTCATCACATGTTCAAACAGATTAAGGAAAGTAGAACATGTCAGAATGTGTCTGCTGGAGCCAAGGACAAGATCACAAGGTCTGCTTTTTCCCTTCTAGACCTGTAACCTCTTTATGCAGTAAGAGTAGATACACAGGATGTGTGTGTGTGTGTGTTGGTGTGTGGATGTGGGTGTGGTGCTGTGTGTGGTGGTGTGTGTGTGCTGTGTGTGTGTGTGTGTGTGTGGTGCTGTTGTATGAAAGCGGGGTTGGCAACATCTGATTAGACAAACAGGACTCTTTCTGGAAATATGTTGTCAATGCAGCCCTTTGTTACAGACCAAAGTGATAAACGAGAAGTGAGAGTTCCAAGACTGTTTTAATCTTAAAGATCTCATAAAATCTGCCTCAAACATCAAGAAAACACGTCTGAGATATAAACAGAACAATTTCCAATTATTGAAATATTTTGTAGGTTTGCTGGATGAATGAAAAGTCAACACCAGTAATACAACAACAAACAACTTCCGTTTCCACTGCTTATCGCTCAAGTCATGACAGTTTATTTTAACATTTGTAATTTCCTTACAAGAGTTAATTTCCTCCCCATCTTTTCAGTTGGTTCAGCCCTTTATCACAACCTGGCTCATTATATGTCCTAGCTATAAACAGCCAAAATAATCCCAAGAATTTAATGATCTATTAACAGACTTTAATAATTCAGTAATGTCAGTTTCACGCATCAACCTTTTGTCATCTCTTTGTGCCTGTTTATATGAAGGTGCAATTAAAAGGTGGGCATAAAAGAGAAGATATATGGAAAAGCAACTGTCATACATATATTTCCAGCTCACTGACACTTTAATATCAGTAAACAGAGATTAATAACCACTCAGATATACAACTAACAAGTGATGCAAACTCACATGAACCGGCATGTTAAAATAATCAGACTTGAAGGAATCGGCCATGTCTCCAAAGGATTGGAGGGTGTAGCTCCTGCTGGCCTGCTCAAAGCCAAAAGCGACAGCAGGTTTGCCACATTCCTGTAACAAATGAAATAAAAATGAAATATAAAGTTAAAAAAACACTTGTATTATACAGTTGTACTATTATATGTGAGGAAATCAGGCTAATTTGTCTGCCAGGATTTAGGTCCCTGGGGGTTCAGGGTCTGCAGCTCACCTGAGCCAGGCACTTGGGACATCTCCAGTCACCTTTGGGAACGTCGTGGAGGGGAGGGATCAGACAGAAGATGTGATAGCTGTCATCACAACCGTCACACAACAGCAGGCGGTCCTCAGCAGTCCCACTGCCACATACCAAGCACATGTACTGGTCCACCTGAGGAGACAGAACAACTGTGGGTGCTGCCTTTGTTCAACACTACAACAAGGATAAATGTTTCTTTAGACTTGCACAATATTGGAATTATAGCGATGTAAGGCAACATTTTTACACAAAACAATATACTTACTTTGTTTACGGGAGGTTTGTTTATCTTGTTTAACACATATTCTTCATAATCTGTTGGATCCTCCTGTTTAATGGGCTCCTGTTTAATGGGCTCCTGTTTCACCTCAGTGACTGCCATCCTCACTGAAGGATAAAGACGAAGGCTCAGTGGACGTTTTAACATTCTCCAGTAATGTCACTTATTTTAACAAACACGGCCCCCTTTTCTTTGCTTTGTTCTTACCGGGTTCTGGTTTGACAGAATACGTTCCCATCCTCCTCCTGAGATTGGGACGATTCTCACAATCTTCGCCAGGTTCGGTTTTAATTCTCTGTCGGAGTCACAGTGGGAATCACAGAGTGAGACAGAGAGAACAACAGTTGTACATTTTACTGGTTCCTCAATGAGAGGACAACCTTTTCACTCCTAATATAATATATAATAATATAGATTAAGATCAGCTGCTCCTCTGTCATATTATTCCAGTGTGTGTGTGCGTGTGTGTGCGTGTGTGCGTGTGTAGTGCATATGAATACAAACATTTACTTAAATGTCCAGCTTTAAAGGACACACATTAAAATATCTTACACATAATGAATTAAACATGGTGACAATGTCAGAGAACAGAGGGAGAGATCGGACTCACTTCAGATCCCATTCGTTTTGCCCGGCGGGCGATGCTGCAGATCTCCTGCGGCTGGACAGACTGCCGCTGCGGCAGGTCATGGGGAGTGTACTCCTTATCTTTAGTGTCATTGGTCAAGGTGGCCCTCTGCAGAGAGAAGTAGGTAAATGTGATGAAAGTGATACCAAACACTGAACAACACCGACTAAAAACTGAACAAACGATGTTAGTATGATGACCAGATTTAGCCTTCTTTCTAACATGTATCCAAATAAGGTTGTTTATATTTTTATTAAAATATTTGACTAATTAAGGACCATTCAAAGGGATAAAAGTATCACAAACAGACATAGTAACAAAAAGCTGTGCTCCTTACATTTAACTATAGTACCAGTTTTTGGTTTTTTTAAGATCTTGCCTCTAATACATGACATTTTGAACAATATCAAACACTTGGAGCCTTCCACTAAAGAGTATTTCTCTGCACCTTGCTTCAGTAAATGTTTGTGCAGACTGTGTCAAGAGATCTTGATTTGGCTGCATTGTGATTTTTTATGCTTATTAGATTGCATAAATGTTTTACTGAGTGTACAAATGCACCCGTTGTTGTGCCCAATCCCTGAAGACAGCGGCACTCAAAGCCTAATTTGAACAAACTCAGTCTTTGATAACTGTGTCACCGCATCATCAGCACTGATCAGCAGCAACTGTGGCTGAGACGCCTCAGTAATCAATACCTGCCACTGTTCTACAACCTTTGTTTCTATGACCAAACTAAAACTGGGTCAAAGGACCACTTTAACTTTAATTATAATCCTGTCAACTACATTAATAATGTGTATATTGAGCCTGTAGTGAAATAGTTCTAGTCAGTAAATACCAGTGAGTTTATTATAATGAACTTTGTAGCTTGAAAAGGGCTCTTAAATGGACGAAACGCACTATGAATTCTTCCAACATCCACTCAACTGTGAACAACAAGAATATCTATTGCTGCCCAACTGGGAAAAAACAAAACAAACACAGGCTAAGACAGGACGTACAGGCAGATTGTCTCCAGTCTGGAACAATTTATATGGGTAGAGGATCCTCTCATAGTGTGCCCGCAGATGGGAGCCAATAGCTTTGCCTGGAGCAAAGCCCATCTTGACGGATATCCTCGTCCAGCGGCGCTCTCTGCAGACTGCATCGAAGCCACCTTCTTCATTCACCAGCTACAAAGGATAGAAATGATGAATTCAGTCTATGTGTAGGAAGCGGTTTTATAGTCAAATGTGAATATTGTGAATATATTATGAATAAATGATTCATATTTATAGAGTCTGGATTTCAAAACCAGTCAAGATTTGCATGTACCTTATTCAACTGGTAAAGATCCAAAATCTTTCTTTCCACGTGAGGGATTTTCAGAGTGCATCCCTGAAGCTCCCAGAATTTAGCTATTTGATCCAGGAAGTTGAGCTTAACTCTGGTCTGAGCCTAAAGTACAATGAAACAAAAGTTAATTTTGTGTATTGAACATTTTATTGTGCATTTGTTAACATGATGGCAGTTCAAGTAGGAAGTAGGAACAAAAATTAAATTACTCGTGACCTTTGTTCAGATGTTGTCAACTGCCCAATGACCAATTTTAGAGAAACCTACTAAAATAATCTTCCAACATTTTCTCTCACCGCAACTGACTGACCACAGCAACTAAACAGCTTAATCTAATTTATCAGACATTTTGAAGCATGTTTTACATTTTGTATTGTTTGAGGAAAATTGACAGAGACAGCATGTCAGCATAAAATCAATTGACAGGATTTTCTTTATTCAGCAAACATCCCACATGTACGCATCTTAAATACACAAACAACAAATAATAAATGAACGTACCTCCAACTCATTGAGTCTTTGTATCCGTGGTGTGAATTTCAGTCTGTCAACATCACAGGCAAACGGTGGCTGCCAGTCCTGAGAGAATAAACAAAAACACTGTATTGTTTATGATGCTCGTACTAAAGCAGTCTGTCGGAGAGAGGATGTCACGAACGAGGCACCATGTGAATGATGGGTAGTTAAAGTCACAAACCTCTCTTAAGGATAAGGCATTCTTGTATATATTATTTATTTTTTGTCAACAAATCCCACAAAAAACACCAAAACCAGCAGTGTGTCAGTATATTCAGAGCTCCTCGTTCAGTCAGCGGCTCTCAGCTCCATCACTTCCTCAGACTTCAATCTTTAAAAACAGGTAACAAATATATACTTCCCATTTTTTAGAACAGCCCAAATCATTTTCTCAACCAGCTGGGATCTGTAACATTTAGCAACAGTTACTCAAACAGAATCTTTTTGTTGCCGACTATTTTCAGCCTCACATTTGGTGCACTGTGTACACCTGCAGGACACTTTATGTGGGATTGACCTTAAAATAAACAACAAATATAGAAAACACTCAGAGTACCAGAGCTCTGTACTGAACACAGTTTGGAAAAGAGGTTTAACTGAGTTCTTAACAACAAATGAAAACTAGAGGAGAAAGACCCTTCGTCTGCTTCTCATTACATCAATGTGATATTTTAACATCTGTCTTCTGATCCTTTGTTAAAGGATGCCTGTAGTTAATAAGGAGTAAAAATATAAATCTAATCTTGACTAAACACCCACTAAATCCAAGAGACTGCAGCTCTTCTAACCTACAGACTGTTATTAAAGACAGGAAGTCTTTGTGTCTGCTCTGTGCCAACATGCTGTGCACAGGGAATCAGGTTGGTCAACATCGACAATCGAGTAACGGTCGATTAAATGTACATTTTGTGTGTGTGTGACATCTATTTATATTAAACAAAACTAAGGTGGTAAATAACAACAGCATAGCAATTTTAGATTTGATGTTAAAACTAAACAATTTATATTATTTCTATTTTTATATTTTATAAATGTTTGTCCGAACCTTTGAATAAAAGTCACTAAAGATGTGAATCCACAGATGATCCCACTGCTGCGTGTCTCTAAGTGAAGGAGCTCTCTACCAACCTACAGACAGACTAAACACAGTCGTCTGATATTAATGCGCTGCACACCGACTCACACAAGACCACACAACTTCCTGTAAGACGAGAGAAGACGGTGCCTACAGTGGCTCAAGCGTCGGTGAGATAATCTCAGTTTTACATCGTTGAACGTGCGACACCACACTAATGCTGATCGGTCACAAGTGAGAATGTTCACAAATAAGACAAAAACAACCTGTGAAACTGCGTCCTTTAGTGTGATAGAAAGTGTGTAATCCTGGCCACACTGAAGCTGGTGATGGTGTACGGGCTCACAGGACTTTCTTGGCTAAAGATAAAAAAACTAAAAGTTATTAGTACGAACAAAACTCTGAGCGTGTAGAGCTGAAATGATCCTGCTATTTCTACAAAGATTCCCACAATCTGACACTGAGGGGCAGACAGAAACACTTATCCTAGAGATAAGATTCATGTTGCCCTTCACACAGTATGCAACAAATGTTCTCAGACAATCTTACACAAAAACACACAGAAATCCATTAACCCTAAATAAAGAACTGAACAGATGGTTACTTTTCCTTTAATGGCTCTGATTCTTGGTCTCAACGCTGTGTTTAGACGGAGAGAAAAAACCAAACCACGTTATAAATACCGATCTAAATCAGATCAACCAAACAGGCTTGTATTGCTCAGAAGCAGCAACTACAACCATCACATCTTAGCAAATGCTCCCACCGACACTTTATTGCAGTGAAAGGGGGAATGTGCCAAACGAGCACTCAAGAGGTGTAAACTGATCATGTGACCTGATTCAGCTGGGCCTGGAGATGAGGCTACAGCTCTGAACTAATTCAAACATTAACTAATATTTCTTAAATGTTACAGAAACACGTTGTTCATCGTGCGTTTTATAACTGACCACCTACTGCAGGCAGTGTTACTGTGGGATTAGCACTTTAACATGTAAAACGTTACACACAAGATTTACTGGATGTGGACAGGGCTTTTTTCTTTTCTTACTAGGATAGAAATGCTGGTTGGAGTTGGGGCAACAATAGCTGCATTAACACCACCTTATCATCTGTAGACAAAGCTGGATTAGAACCACAAATGTCCTGGCACAAAAGGAAAACAATCGCTTTAAAACATATGAAAGTGCACTGAGGTTTTTTCTTTTTGACCCATCCACACACACAAGTGTGACCCCACCAGTTAACGTTAAGCACAATTTTGGTCCAAACAGGACAAACCTTCCGCAAAGTGGAAAATGGCGAATACAGGCGGCGAGAAGTTGACCACAAACGGCCTCAAGATATCACTGACAATCTGCATGTGTGCTACGAACATCTACAGTCAAAACCTGATCCCTGTAAAACCTTGAAGGCTGCATACCGTGCACCAAGAAATCACTGATCAAAACCAGGTTGTTACGTCTTCTTCCTCTTCTTAAAAAAAAACCACAAAAAAACCCCAGAAAAAGGTTACGTTTATAAAAAGGCAGAAACAAAGAAAAGAAGATCTCAGATTATATCTAATCTAATCTAAAACACTGTTGTGTACCTTCACCATACAAGCCTCCAGGATGCCCAGCGCTGTCCGCTTTATACAAACGCACACACTTAGAAATGTAGTGAGTAGAAGTCCACTCTCAGTGAGCTCAGATTCACGTTGCTGGAGGATTTAAGATTGTTTGTTGGTTTGTTTGGCCCGCGCACAACCCCTCGGAGCCAAAATGTTGATCTGAATGTTCAGAAGAAACTGCTGGTGCATGACACAGGACAGCGGACAATGGTGCTCGCACAGAGCAGGACAAGTGGTGGAGGTGACCTAAAAAAAATGTGATTTCAATTAAATATCAATTCTCCTTCTCGCACACGAATCCGATCTAAGTACTGGTCTAGTAGAAACAGGCGTTGTGTTTGAATTCATTGGATCTGCTGCCTCTTACCATATGGTATTTAGTTTAAAACGGTCATAAAAATGCCAGTAAACAAACGACTTGAAGCTAGAGAGCGTATTCCCAAATATTTTTAAATAATACATGGTGAGTGAATGGGACAGCCAACAGTTCCTTGGACTTATTCAATGTGAGGATGAACGTGGATTCAGCACTGCCTTCTTTTGTACACGAGCTTTATTCAACCATGCCTTTAAATGTAGCTTTAACAGCAACAGCAATCTCTTTTGGTTATATTATACTACCCGCCCTGTCAAACCGAGCAAAAGTGGTTTTTACAGCTTCCTAATTTCTTCTGAAAAACAAGTCTCATGTTATCTGGTACGCACACAGATCAAAAGAAAACACATTTTCAACGTAAGGTCTTTAAACTGACTCACTGATGACTGCCAGAAATTACATTAGCCAGCCAGTCAGTCAGGATGATATTATTTATTTATTTCTGCAGAATTTGCCCTTTTATCTAATTTGCCTGTAAGCTTGGACACACCCTTGAATAAGGTAACAGCCATCAGAAATAAATGTGGCTTGAGTTTGAATTATAGGGTTAAAAAAAATATATATATATATATATATATATATATAAGTATATATCAATAATTCCTTTCCAGCTCATTAAAGACTTCATATTCCTCTCCATGTTGACTGAAGTGATGTGTGGATTATAGCAGAAATAATCACCCAATTTAAAATAATAACATCACGAATATGATATAAAACGTCCGGAACTGTTTTATTACAGTCACAATAACAGAAAACAACTTCGCACACAAGCCCCCTGTCAACAGAGAGCATGAGTGTAATTAAAGTGTTTTCGGGATAAAGAGAAGACATACGACCCTCCCTCCTCCAATAAACATTGGTCACCGAGCACGTACGAGCGAGTCCGACAAACTGCGGCTTCAAACGGCCCTTATCGACGGTAGCCTAGGTTACCACACAACGGCTAAATCCGAAAGTTATAAGAAATATGATGGTGTTTTAACTAACTAACTAACTAAAAGAACCGGTTCTTTAAAAACTTTTTTATTTTCATTTCTTAATGAGCTATTTCCGTGCAGCCCGTCCAGGAAGTCGTTTCATCCCTTGCGCGGAACGTAAACAATTTCCTATTATATTTGCATACAGGGCAAACTTTAAAAAAATAACATAGGTTTTTTTGAATTAATGTTTTAAAAAAATAAAGTGCGCTCCGTAACTATGCAACAAACACACGTATGTCCTTGGTGGTTGAAATGTTTAAAAACTTGATGTGTTTTTCACCTCTGAAGTCTGAAGTGCAAACACAACACACACACCACACACACACAACACACAACACACACACACACACAACACACACACCAAACCACACCCCAAACACCTCCTTCTCACTCTCTCTCCTCCTCTTCCTCTCTTTTTGTTCTCGCTCTTGTCTCTTCTCTCTCTTCTCCTCCGTCCGCTCTGTCTCTTTTTACTGTGTCTCTTCTCTCTCTCTCTCTCTCTTTTCTTCTCTCTCTTTTCTTCTTTTTCTTTCCCTCTCTCTTTTTCTCTCTCTCTTCTCTCCTCTCTCTCTCTCTTTCTCTCTCTCTGAGCTGACAATCCAACTCGGGAGCCGCAATCCGCCATGTTGAAATCTGTCTAAAAACACAACTTTGCCTGCTGCCAATTCAACACACACACGAAGAAACCCCTGAAATGAATGTTAGAAATGAATCCTCACCGGCGGCGGTCGGATCTTGCAGATGCCAGTTTTCTCCGCAATGGGTCGTATTTTGTTGATGTACGCAAAAGGGTCGGCAAATTCCTCCCAGCTGGGCTCAAAAACAGGGCACTCCGGAGGGGGAATGAACTCATTCAGCTGAGGTTGACTCATCGTTGCATCTTCGTTATGACTGTTGGCTGAAATATTCTTTGTTGTTGTTTGTTGTTTGTTGGTTTTTTTTAAGGGGGGGCGGGGGGAGCCTCCTCACGCCGAATATGCTCGCTTTGAATGCCTTGTCTTTTCAGCTCATGCCCACTCTCCACTCATTGAACTCAAAGACGAATTATCTAGTTGGAGACGAGAGGTGACAGCCAGAGACGGTGTGCCTCCGCTGCACAAAGTAGACACCCTAGGAATTATTCACACACACTCACACGGTGGTTAATATGTGTCTTATTTTAGATATTATTACACATGCTAACATTCATTGTGTTTATAGTCGATTCACAGCTCGTATAGTGCGTGTTCATTATGAGTTATATCCTGTTTTAGACTCTGTTAAGAGTCAATAAACCACCTTCAACGTAATTTAATCTACGTTCGCGTCCTCATAAATAACCTACATTAAGCTTTAGCCTCACACAGTTCGCACTATATTATTATTTAACGTTATTTAGTTTATTGGCACCGTGGTTTCCTGTTCGATGCGTTGGATTCGAGCACCGTGTCCGCCCGCCGGTGTACGGACCACGGAGTTGAGTCCGGTGTTTTTCAAATGAAGTGATTAATCGGATCCGGTTCTGTCTAACCCCGCCCGGTTGGACCGAAAGAATAGACGTTAGCGACGGAACGTTGGGTGCTCTAATCGAACACACCCACCAGATCGCTGCGCGCTGACCGGCACTTCGTTTTTAAATGGTCTAGAGGAGCTCGCTGATTGGTCGAGACTGTGGTCATATGTTGATAGTTCAGCTGTTAATGTTTTTAATAATAAACATTTTAATGAAGTCATTTGTTCTGCGCTAACTCATCAACATTTGCACGGTTATATCGTATACATTCTGTGTTTTTAAAAACGTGCCACGGTTTAAAGGTTAAATGTGCACGGGGTCACTTAACATTGTAGGGGTCTCCCTTTGACCTGATGGTGCTTTTATTAGTCTGTTTGTGCCAAAAGAAAATCAAATATAAAGGATCTTACTGTTAATATTTGTTCACACCTTTACTTCCTGTTGCACATTGATTTAATCTATTGTTGGTTGTTAAAGTCTTTATCTATTGAGTGTGTATTATATTTGTTGACATCTATTTTGTCTAATGACAATGTTTTATTAATATTGTTTGTCAGTCTCACATTAACAATCACACAAACATAAAACCATGCAAGTATGACATTGATTTAACCCTCTATAAAAGTTAAATACATTCCTTATGTAAGCACTTACTAACTGAAAGCTAACTCTTGACAATCTGTGTGTTGAACGCATTATAAAGCCATTCTGAGGCAAATCTGTGACTTTGAGTTACATAGTTACTGTAAGTAGAGCGTTTGAGCACAGTCTCATAGATGGGATGTGTCAGCTGAGGATGGCACACCACTTCATTTGTTTCACTCTGTATATGAGACTGATTTGAATGTCCCTGTTCTCTGTTTCGTTTTAACTTCCCGTTGGTGGATTTTGGACAGTAGATTATAACGGTTACACAACACAGGTGTCTTTCAAAATCAACGGCACGTATTTGCGTAATTATACAAAACTCTGAATCTCTCTCAGCTCTATTGTCCTAAATGTTTGGTCTTTTATTTTTTATGACATAATTCTACATCTTCTGTGCAAAACCTGCGTGTGAAGTAAGTAAAATAAGGTAAATAACAGTGTTGTCATTTCACCTATATTTTATGCCTCATTTTATAGTATTCAGAAGATACTCTACTTCCACAAAGGGTTTTTTGCTTGAAAACACACAAAGGGAAGCAAACACCTCCACACACTGTGGTCTGCTGGCAGCAACCACTGATAAGGTGAGACTGAGCTGACAGAGTGGGGGTAGAGCCTTTAGTTGAAGGGCCACAGTGCATACAAAATAACAATTAAAACATAAAATAGGCCACAAAATAAATGTATCAAATACTAAAATGACGACATCTAGTGGCAAACAGTAGACCTACAGCTTAAAACAATGAACGTGTGCTTTTAAAGAGCTGATTCACACAAACGTCAAACCCTACAGGCTTTGTGTAAACTCCCTTTATCTTTAGGGTGTAAACACAGAAATTGGGACCTGAGGTTTCTCAAAAGTGAATAATCTTTTTAGGGTTGCAACAAATTATTATTTACCGTATTTAATCACCTATCAAAAATGTTTTTGGTGAATTGATTACCTTATAAAATGTCAAAAAACGTGTGAAAAATGCCCATCACAGGTTCTTCAATGTCTGCTTCTGTCTGACCAAAGCTCTAAAACCCAAAAGTATTCAAAGTACAACGAAAAAAAAGGTAAAAATTTAACTTTTACTGATATTTCTGCAGCTGGAATTAGTGAATGCTTCGTATTTTTACTTAATAACTGACTTTAAAGAGTCATTTTTGTGAGTTACAGGACACAGAGATCAGATTATTAAGGAAACAGCTGCAGGATGGCGTTCAACATCCCCCAAAAACACCTTTATTAGAACAGGATGGTCATACTGTTGTCACTGTGAGAGGAGACTGAAAGTGACATGATGTACACGTAACAGTATATGTGTGTGCGTGTGTGTTGGGTTAAGTTGAGCTCAACTGGGTGTAAATCCATGAAAAGATGCATAGCCTGCCAACACATTTTTTTTTTTCAGTTCTTGTGGGCTCACATATGCATTTAGACTACGCATGATTCACCCTTTCCACAGCCACGTAGAAACTCTTCTTGTCATCCAAACAGTGCCAGCCGATTGGTCCAATCTCACAATCTGCACAGATGAGATACTTGATTCTCCCCACGTCGTTAGTGAAGCCCACATTCTCAAAAGTGTACATGTCGTCCACAAACCAGTGGGCGGTCAGAGTGTCGCCGTCCACTGAGCCCTCCGTGGAGTTGAGGCCGCTCTTTTTCCGCATGGACGGTAGGAACAGCTGGTGGGAGAAAACACAGTCTCAGATGACAGAAAAACACCTCTGAAGGAACCCAAAATCTGTAGTAAGGTCGCCATGTATTTAAGTCTAACTGGGATGTCTGTTTCTAGTTGGAGTAGCTGGAAAAAGCAGACTACATCACTCTGGTCCGCAGAAACCTCCACTGGCAGAATACAGGATCCTCCTCCTGGTATACAAAGCTCTAAATGACCCTCAGTATATTATATTTATGTTTAGAAACCTTGCATATATTCCATCAGCATTTTTAATATGTATAATATATAGTAATATAGTATTTATGTGTATATATGTTTATATATATAATATGTCAGTTATATTTGTTTTATTTACTGTTACAGGACGTTTTCAGATCCTAATTGTTCATTAAAGCAGCAATAAAGTAACTTCCATTTGTCGTTTATTCTGGCGCCCCCTGTGGACAAAAGCTGTAGTGTTTCTACCACCTTCTTTCATTGATTTCAAGGGGAATCCGACAGTATCCGACCCAGTGGCAGGCATTAAGAATAACTATATAGAAATAGCCTGATGGTGTTGTTTGTTTATGTAGGTCATATAGAGGCATCAGTATTAAACTGATCCTTGACGTAGGTTTACGAATAAGTATTATTAGATAAATGTGCTTAAAGTAAAAGTACTAACTCATTGTTATTTCTGATGTAATCATCAGTTATTATGTAAGTAGTAAGTGTAACATCTTTGTCTTTAAAATCATTGATAACTCCCTCCTCCAGATAAATATAATGGAGTGCAACATGTTCTAGGAATAGTAGTGTACAAAAATAAAGTACATAACATAAAAATGCTCACGCTTTGTACCTTAAATGTGCACTTACAGTAAATGTACACAGACGCATTGTGCCCACTGGTTTTTATTATCCTGTACATTAAAGCAGTATTAAATTAAACTCTATTTATATGACCTGTGGAAATACTAATTACAAACCAACATAATATCCAGAGCTTGGAGGCAGCTGTGTGTGAGCCACACCATACCTCTTTCTCTGCAAACAAAGCCATCCCCGGGCACAGCACCTTGGATCCGCAGCGCTGACACACCACAGACTTGCTGTTCTTGCCTTCGTCAGAAACCAGGTCGGACCGGTCCGGACTCTCTTTGGACTGCTGACTGTTGTCCATCTCTAACGCTGACAAACCACAAAGACACTTTTAAAGCACATGAAAGGATCGGGACAGCGTATATCTCAGCAACCCCAGCAGACAGTAACTAATGAGAGCTGCAAAGATGGGGCGCACCGGAACCACCGTCGGAACCACCGTCGGAACCTTTGTAGTGCGGAAGTCCGTGACAAAGAAACCCACTAATGTTTACACTTTACGTTTATCTGCTACACATAAATAAACCCGAACTACGGGCTGACAGCTCACCACAACGAGCGTTAAAAACTACAGTACTCTCTCTTTACATGTGTGCTACCATCTGTGACTGAAGATAAACACAAACAACAACACAAACAACAACATCACACGACACGCTGGACGGAACCAAAGCACACACCTGGATGTGGAGGCGGACACAAGGCTGAACACCGCTGTAAACTTATGTCTACGACTGTAAACACGTAACACAGACAGGTTCGCTCAAGCTAGGCTAGCATACTAGCTAGTCTTGAAGTGGACCAGCCAGTAAATGCTCTCGTTCAGAAACACGTGGCTGTGACTTGGTTCCGCCTTAACAGAGAGCAACGCAGTCTGTATGTAGGTAGTAAGGATGGCAGTGAGGTTCATTTTGTCTCTAATAACTGTGACTGAGCTATTTCAAATGACGGAGATTTTAAATAAATGGTGGTCTGTGATGTACTCAGCTTGTTTTAGATATTACACCTCAATGTAAAAATACATGTAAAGTAAAAATACACAAGTATTTCCAGCAAAATGTATTTAAAAGGTGCTGTATCACTGGACTATATTATTCATCATTCCCACTGGATATACACTAAAGGAAGCCCAATCCAGGTCATGTATGAAAGAATAGGATGTACGATATGTTTCAATCTCTCGGACAGTGTTTTCATTGATACAGCAGAAACATTTCCACCTAGAGCGTCAGAGGTGAGTTAGTCGGGTGCAGTGCATCATCCAAAACAATCATTTTAAAAATTGGATATGTGATGTTATAACATTGCATTTACTCAGTATTCTGGTCATGTCTGTTTCATTTTTTTTATTTTGCACAATTCACTGTTATATAAAACCCAAATGTTCATAGGACAGCATAGTTTGCATATTGATGTAAATACAGATCAGGAGATTAAAAATTTTCCTATTCTACAAAAAAAGAGACTGTGAATCCTTGAAAGAGGGACGTTATCTGAGTGCTTTCTAATTATGTCTGGTTTATATCTGTGGACTCATCCCCAGCAACTCATTCCAGGAGAGAAGGCCTGACGTGACGTGTTTTTTTTTATGGTGATAAACAAGCGATAAGCAGTAGACTGTGTTGTCTTCACAGTTGTTTACTGCTGATGTGACACTCTGCTGTGTGAGTATCGCTCTCACCAGCTGCTTGTACTGCCTGAACCTCCAACATGCATTTGCCACAACCGACACAACTGGACACCGTGTTTGTACATGTGGAAAAAAATTTATTCCAATAATTTTCCAAGATTACCATTAATAAATATTTATGTTTACATTTCAGGGAAATGTATGATTTATCACTTTCTACACAGGACATTACACAAAGTCAAGAATACACATTGTTTTAGTCTTTGTAATAAAGCTTGAATAAGTTGATCTAGAAAAAGGAGTCTTAAACAGCAGTTGATACAACCTATCCATGGAGTTGTAAGTTCAATAATGATTCGATTGTATATATGGCAAGGAAAACAAGAAAAGTCAACATCTGGAAATCCTTGAAGCTCCCTTGACTGTTAAGATAGGCCGTTTTATTTAAAAACATTTCCGTTGGCCTAAGGCACAGGAATACTAAAAGTTTATATCAATCATACATAACCTTATGGTGATTTAACATTTTAAATTTAATAGTATACACTAAAGGTGCATTTGATATTTACACCTCTCATTGCATCTGAAATCTAGCACAAAAGAAAGATCTCTAGCTGACGAAAACACAATTTGACCTATCCAGATCTGTACATTGTGCGTAGCCCAGGAACTACCACTCTTAATTAATGATGTGTTGTCTGACTGACAAATTATGGCAGGGTAGTTTTAAGCATCTTAGTCTAATCTGAATTGAGCATATATTTTTTGCTGTGCCATTATGTAATTTAAAACCTATTTGTTTGGGACTTTTGTCAATTAACACAAAGGAACTTTTTCAGTAATAAGTTTAAATAAATGGCAACGTTCAAGTATCCAACCCCTTCATTTTTGGAGGGAATTCTAATTAATTACAGCTTGTGTTACTCAGACACATCTCTAGATTATATTTATATCATTTAGGCTTTATGTTCCCTTCATAATGGTGTATTTTATTTAGTTTTAGTTGAATCTTAGGAGTATTCACTGGGCCTTCAGAGTACAGTTCATGTTTTATTGCAGAGGGCTCATGGGTGGGCTTGTGGTGGTCCTCCGGGTTTTAACAGACAGCTTTGCAATCAGTGTCAACATAGTTCAGAAACATCTGGTGACACCTATACACACACTACATGTGTATGCTTTCATCATCCTCATACAAATACATGTGCAGCCCCCCCCAAGCAACTAAATGGTCCTAGACTGCTCTACACCTGAACTCCTGGTGGACAGTACATTCATCCTCTAACCTGCATGGAGACTGGGGAGGGGGAAAAGGAAAGGAAAGGTGCACTCTGCTACAGCACAGACAATACTCTCTGTACCCTTTTTGCAATCGTAACAGACTATGAAGAGGTTGGGTTTCTAGTGAGCTTCTAAGAAGTAACCATCACTTACAGGAATATAAGATTTTGGTTAAAAACACATTTTGATCTTACTTGAAAATGCAGACTTCAAGCTTCATAATTACTGAAGAAGTAGTGCCTGTTTTATATTCCCTCCATAGTTCAATGGCTAGTTAGTGCTACTTTATTTGAGCAAAAAAGAGCCAAACAGAAAAGACCACCAAAACCCAAACAAGATGTTCGCAAATCAGAAGTACAGAAGGAGCAATAAGTGACTATATATTGAATTCCAGCAGCATTTTAAGTGTGTGTGTGTGTGTGTGCGTGTGTGTGTGTGTGTGTGAGTGTGTGTATGTCGTGCGGTGTGTGTGTGTGTGGGGCTATAAAGAAAAGTATGAGCAAGTCACAGTCGGGCCTCTCAGAGTAGAGTGTCATCTGTGCATCCTCCCTCGAGGCCGTAGCGGAACTCCTGCAGGTTGGAAACCCCGTAGAAGTGGATGAACGCCGCTGCCACGACCAGGACGTGAAAAATCTGATGAGAGTGGAACTAGAGGGAATGAAAGAGAGGTGTAAGTATCAGTTTCATTCATTATCATTTGCTATCATGTGTTTGATCAAACAAAGGAGAAAAAGACCCATAGTCTATCGCAGTGTCTGAACTGCTCCGCTGCTCACTCATTCTTTTTCCCTACAGCATAAAAAGCAGTCAGCTCTACACTCAGCTTTCAATCTAAGGTGAAAGATCATTACTTTTAATCACTACTAATAGGGGTACTGCTACATGGGATGTGTATCAAACCTCCAGATGTTTTTCTGTAACACTAAGTATTGAAAAAGGTCAAATTGGAATCAGTTCACTTGTTTTTTTAATGAGATGATTCTAATCAAAGTTAAAATGGTTACTAATTTCAGACTGTATTTCGTCTAGTTAAAGGTTCCTCCTGCCCGGGTTTAGACACAATGTAACATGTGAGAACTCTAGCTTTTTCATTCAATTAAAAGAAGAGTTTTGTGTTCATGTTCTTTATTGGACAAAAGCATTGTTTTGGTATTAAAACTCAGATACTGTATCAGCATTAGAGTAGAACAATTTCAAACAATACTCTACCGCAAGTCTCTTATATCAGTAATATTGAGGATTGTTATCTAAGAAGCAAAAGGTGAAGCCTTGCATTGTGAGCATCATGTAAAACTGTCATGGCGAATTTATAATATAATAATTAGTCAATTTTCTTTTTTCTATTATAATGTAAACACAATAAATACTTACCCAGATGTCACACTTCCCAGGGAAATAGCGCTCAGGGATCCTGGCTGCGTACAGACCAGCACCAGTGATATACATGGCACCCATCAGGTAGAACCAACCCATCTGGCCGACTGTGGTGGCCTTAACAAAGCCCTCCTCGATGGTGAAGTGCATGGTGGGGACAATGCCGCTTAATCCAAGACCCATGAACACACCTAAAAGAAGCATTGGACTTGTTATTTTACTTTGTGTAATTCTGAAAAAGTCAACATCGGGGTTTCTAACAGTCATAACCGCAGCATGTTATCAGAGTTTCCTCTGCATTTAGTGGTTTGCTCCGCAGGAACATTTCCACCGCTGCTCAGAAAAGGCAAAACATTGACAGATGTGATAAAACTATTATTATAACTCAAAGCAAACAGCTGCATTACACTACAATAAAAACACTGTATCTAAAAAGAGCTGAAGAACTGTTAGCGACTGGTTGGCACCTGCTCTAGTAGGTCTGTGACGAGGTGTAGAGAACCGGTCCCACTGGGCCACTATGATGGCGGCAATGCCGAGGACACAAACAATGGTGAGGTAGATAAGTCGAGGCTGAGGGGAACAATAGAACGAGTAGTACAGCCAGGGCACGAAGGAGCCCATGATCAGGAGGGCAATGCCCGAGTAGTCAAGCCTGCAGAGAGGGGGTGACAGAGACAGCAGCTGGGTTTTTGCCTGGAAGATGAGCTGAATGCAACAAAGCTCATGTTTCTAAACACAAAATAATCATACAACAATATAAACACAGTTCACAGTATATTTTCAAGCCCATCTCAATTTTACAGTGACTGTTCTCATAGAACATCATGTACATGGACACAATAGCATACAGTAAACACAAGTATTTTTGAGCTTTTAGTGTGTGCAATAAATTATAATTCAGCCTAAATTAACTTCATGCTGCAGCAGTCTGCCAGAGTAAAACCACAGATCAGAATAAAGCACTTCAAAATGCCTCGCAAAGCTGCAATTCAAAGTGCTGGCACACTCAGGAAGAGCAGTTCAGTTTCTTGCTCAAGTATATTTGACATTCAGACAGGATGGGTCAGGGTTTAAACCACCAACACCATGGTTAATGGACGACATTTTTAAATTCACAATCATTTGTCTTTTGAGTACATCAGAAGTGTTTTCTCAGAATTAAAAAGTCAGACTCTGAACTCATGAGAGCATAAATGAGAGAAAGCACCTCACCTGGCAATAACAACACTGTAAATGCTGGAAATAAATCAAAATCCCTAATACAGATGGCTGTAGCATCGTGTTAGTTTTGGCTGAACTGTGGAACATTTTGCCCTGAATGAAGACTGTGGCTGTATCCCTCATTAATTTGAATGAACTCTAGATGGCGAGCTGGAGCTGCACGTCCAGTATGAGGAAACATATGGATACCTGTAATTAAAAACCTGCCTACACCAGGAGCACTAAGTCTAAAATAGGAAAAGGCTTTGACAGTTACAAATTATTCCTTGAAGACACACAGGACAAGTTTATGAGAAACCGTGTGGGGGCCTTACTTGGAGAAGGTGCGAGACACTTTCTCAGAGTGGCAGTAGACGGTATGAAACAGCCAGGAGAAGCTGAGGCAGAGCACAGCTCCCAGGAAGAACATCCCGAACACCACTTTCTCTTGCAGAGGGGCCATAAAATACATGTTGGGCCGCAGCATGGTTAACGTGCCCAGACAAATGAATAAAATCAGCCCTGAGGGGAAAAAATCGTTTTTAGTAACAAAGACTAGAGAACAGAACAATCCAGAGTCACACAGTTCAAAAATATGTTGTAAACAACATTTTTAATCTGCTGCTAAAATCCTGTGTTCAACCATTTTAGGCATCTTACCTAACAGGTGAGTCCAGATGTTTCCTGTCTCAGTGTGAATTCTGAAGATGCTTCCAAAACAAGCCCGGAAAGAGGGCATAGGGGGGCGATGTCCATGCAGGAGGTAATCGTTGTCCTTAAGCCACTCTGGCAGGACGTGAAAAGGGATGACCCTCCAGCGCCCCTCCCAGACCTGAAAAGCCAGAATAGCTTTCACTAACAGATGCATACCTTTACAATTACTAAAAGGCTCTATGAGGTTGACTAACAATAGACAATTAATTTACGTGCAGTTTAAATATCTAAAGAAGTTAAACGCTGTTTGTCTCTATTGAGATTTAAGTAAAATAGACATAATTTGTTTTGTTTTATTAGTAGTTGTCTTTAGTTGTCCTGATCTTCTTGCTCAGGGTTCTTCTCAACAGCTTCATGTGTTTTGATGCTAATTTATTAACAAATACGTTTTCCTTGTTGTAACACTTGTCTCCCATGCTGATTTCTGTGTGTCTTATACAACACATATGTCTTGTGTCTGATGTGGAGTCCTACAAACACCCACACATGACTCACTCAAACTACACAGCAGTCACAGGTTAATTCCTCACATCACTCACATCTGCAGCTGTAACTGTGTCCATTAACCTCACTGCTAAACCAGACGTCTACTAGATGTGGTAAACACCTTTAAGATAAACAGGATATTGAGTTTCAGCTCCTTTAATGTGGCTGGCAGATTGACGAGAGCTGAATATATTATTGAAAGAACCAGATGTAACTAAAAAAGAATTTACTACATTTTACTATTATTATAGAAACCAGTGTTTTTCCGTTTACACTAAAGCGGAGGATGAAGGTGGTAGTGAAGTCTGGATATGCACAGGTTTATTTGAACGTTTAGCTAAGTAAGATCTGGACTGCTGCTGTAAACTGAACTGGTATCCACCTATACAAACATTGTGTTTATTAAATTGAAAAGATATTTCTACCTTGTGTACAAACTCCTCCATCTTCTCCATGGCATGGTGAGCCTGAAGTGGCAAGGTCAGGACCTCTCCCACCTCATCATCCTCCTCTTCCTCTTCAGCAAGCATTGCGGCTCCCTTTAAAGAGGATCATAAGAGAACACTGAAGCTATCTGAGCCATAACAACTTTGCTTTTGGGAATTGTCTGAAACAGTCCTACCTCTTGATGGGCGCCTTTAGATGCTGCCTGTCGCCCCCCTGCCTCCTCCAGCAGTGGCCCCAGCTCCATCAGCTCAACATCTGGGACATGGCAGTCCTCAGAGATCCGGCAGTCTGCATCACTTGCAGACCCGTTTCGGCCTGACATAAGGAGACTGCCTGATGACCCACTCACAGTCTATGTATTCGGCTTCAGGTGGTACAGATGGTTCAATTTCCTCCTGCGCAACAAGAATCAGAATCAGCCTCATACAAGAAATTTGACTCCAGGTCTGAGTAGCTCTCAATATATTTTGCACTACAGAGAGCACACTTACAGGAAGACACAAATACAATAAACAAAGATAAGCAGATATAAATATGTTCACTATTATATACAGGCAAGAGGTGGAAAACAAACAGTATCTATAGAGATCAGATTGTTATTGAGCTTTGTATTTACAAGGTTGTGTATATTAGATATATTAGAGGCAGATAATTGAGAAAAAATAGTTGTTGAATGTTGTTCCCTTAATGTAGTTTCAGCTGATAATTACATTCAATAATGCAGAGCCTTTTTACAAAAGTTGCGGACAAGGGATTTCACCTGAAACCTGGTTCTGAAAGGGGATCCGCTCTAAGTAAGAGAAAACCCAGCGTATTTTTTAAGGTCAGTTTTTCTCATGTTTTTCCTAAAGCCGATAAATGCTCGTCAATAAGGAGAGAAGCTATGATGTTAATTCGCCTACATATTTTGCATGGTCACATACAAGTTTACAACAATTGAATCTATTATTTGCTCTACAAACAGTAAAAGTGCTCTAAAATAGTGGGAAAAAATATATTTCACAATTGCAAGGTTAACACAATCAGATGTGTCCCTAAATTCCATATTGGTGCATCACTGATAATAAGTTGTGTAATATACAGAGATGGTTTTATATGCACATACTGATGGATACAGTAAATGTACAGTGCACACAGCCTGTATAGGGTATTATGTGTAACGTTAGATCAATAATTAGCATTTAATAAATGATTTTGATTTGATTTGAAATGATGAGATTTGCCCTTAAATTATTATTAATATGTATCTATCTCCTGATATAAAATGGCTGGTGCTTAATCTGGGTCTCATTAAATCTGTGTTTAATCAGACATCCACAACAAGAGAACAAAGGAGCGGCTGAACTTATGTAGGTTAGATGTATGCCGCCGGCCCCAATGACACTATAACAACAGTAATACTGCAGATATAAGACAGAATACGGACATTTGACAGAGCTGAGGCTAAAAACATTAACAAAAAAACACCCTTTGACCAAGTCAATGCTTAGCAGAGCCTGGCAGACGGATGTTGATTAGCACGGCGTCCGACGGAGCGCAGAATGTAAACAACCGCAGGATCCCGACGACGTAACGTCAAATCCATCGTACATTTAGGGTTGAATACGGCTCGTTGCAAGGGACTGGATTAAAATGCAACCAGCACCGATACGTTTTCCCGTTAAAAAGGTCACGGATCGCTCATAGATCGGTTTGCTAACGTTACCTTGTAGCTAGCGCCGAGCTGCCGACACTGGTTTGTGAATCAACCTGCTAGCAGCGAGATAAAGGTCGTTACGACGATACGAACATGTACCCCGATATCTACACAGCCTACCGTACTAACATCTGCGATAGAAATACAATTAAATGGACGTGAGTTACCTGACAAGGTAGCCTTCAAAACCAGGAAGGTGAATTATTTATCGATATGCGAAACACAATCCTTTCCGGAAGTTGAGTTCTCTTCCGTAAACCCGATCCCTGTCCTGTTTCCAAAATAAAAGCATTTACACGTAGAAAAACAAATATCTTTAGATACTTTAATGAGCCTTGATTTATTCACGTTTACTTTATATATCTCAAAAAGGATTTATAACGTGAATATGGAAATAATGTGAAAATATTTAGGAAATTAGAATTTTTTTTAGAAGGTTTTACAGTTTGTTTAATGTAACCTACATTAAATCTAATGCAGAGATACTGTAAGTATTAACTTTGATACAGTAATTAACCTGGGGATATAAATCAAAGGGAAAGTTGCAAAATCAGAAAAAGGGTCTGATTCATGGGGATCAATAACGCAGAGAATGAGAACAATTGGTTGTCATAACACATGATAATAAACATGCATTTTCTGGAAGAAAGAATCAATTCAGACATTAGATTAAACTCCGGACACTGTTGGAACACACATGGTGAATGTTTTCTGAATCAAGGTCCATTTAAACTAAAATAAGTAAAGTAAGTAAGTAAAGATTATTGTATCAAAAGGTGTTAAATGCAGCACTTTTAACATTGAAAAAAAAGGGCGTAACCATAAACGACTGAATAGAGAAATATGTCAAAACATTCTATGTTACCAGTGTCCTAATTCCCTAATCCTACCCTAGAATAGGGGAATATACGACCCTGGGAACAGGAATGATCCTGTAGGAAAAGCACATCTGTTCATTCAGCACTCCGTGACAAGTGAACCAGCATGCAAAATACCAGGGCCTGAAACCATACCAGCTGAATTATATTATTTTATTATTTACACCTGTGCCTGTCTTACAGTGACATGTCTTATAAAAAGCCTATACAAGCAGTTTGACACTGGAATAACACCATATGATAAAAGTAAATGAAACTCAACACTGTGCAAATATTACTCTTTATTTTCTTCCACAGGGAAAACATTTCACAGATTTTTTTTAACAGCAAAATAACACATTATTATTAGGTCCACTTAAACTACTTTAACTGATAAATAAAAAAAACTGTAAAAAAGAGGCACACAAGGTAACATGATTGTGGTCTTTTGATATATATACACACACACAACTAGACACAGTCTTTACTGCTGCTGGATTTTGCAAATTCAGGTCCACGTCTTCTTTTATTTCAAGTCCAATGGTGCAAAGGACAATAAATTAACACATAAATAGATCAATGTGAGAGACCAGTCAGTGTGTAGCTGTAGTGGAATTTGCAGTAATTTTCTCTCATTCTCAAAAGCATGTGGGGGACATAATGGCAGTGTTTCAAATACAGTTCACCTCAAGAGTTGAAATTGTCTTGGTTCTCACATAAAGGTTAGTGTCTAATAATATGCTGTTCCAAACACTTTTTTCAGTTAAACCTCATTCAAAGTTCAATTTGACATGTCAATAGCTGCCAAGCATCAAGACTCTGCTTGTCTTAATTTGCTACTTTATATGTCATGTGAGTAAGTTAATATCTAATTTCAGCTAGTTGATTAAGTTTGTTAGTAATTCAAGTTAACTGGCACAGCCACAGACACATGTAAGTATAAAATCAAGACACATTTGACAAATTTGAAATTTAAGCAGCTCGCGTTCATTAACACGGTGACTCAATCACGGCGACATTATGCACAAAATGTAGTTAAAAAAGGATGTGTTGCTCATTTACATTATTATACAATGAATCTATTTCCTTCATCCAGCAAGGCGACAAGGAGCACTTTATTCTCCACCTACCACACTGCAAAAAGTGAACTTCTCTGTCTTGAGCACATCCTCACACACATCTGTATTATGTAGCGATGTGTTTTTAGCTACAGATAGACACATCTAATGCAGCACTATGTTGTATGATTTAGTACCTAAAGTGGTTTACCTGACACCTTTACGTGTGACTTCTTGAAAATTAATCATAATTCATCTGAGATTAACTTCAACAACGGCCTAATTGCTAGTTACACGAGGAAGGTTGTTTTAAAAACATTCACATTTGTCATAATGTAAGTACAATGCCCAATTTCGTTGGACATTTCTGTGTCTATCTGCCACTTTATGGTCAATTACTATTTAATTCATAATTTCTCCACATATCAAAATAACCCTGTATTTAATGACAGAGAAACTCTGTGATTGTGATCATATTAGTTTTGAGCTGGCAGTAGGTTTATGGTGTCAGCCTTGGACACCTCGTTAAACAGAGCTCAGTAATAAAGAGTATTTATCCCTATTGAATTCATAACATTTAACACATAACAAGCATTCAGTCCAATGCTTCATTAATAACTGTTAGTACAACACAACATACAGAGAGTGGACAAAGCAACAGGCACACTTTACAGTTGTACTCCAAATACAATACAACTGCTCTGCAATCAGCTGTACTGTGACTGTGTCAGAGAGGTGTTTGATTCAACTTTACAGTAACTTTGGAGGGCACAGTTTGTGGTATCATACTAGATTACATTATATTGTAAAATGTTCCCTCTATATGCCCAGATAGGTAAACAAGTAATTCTTTATGGGCACAAACAGTTAATCTGACTGGATTTTCTTTCTGACTACTTCACTTTGGTTTAATTGGGAATGAATGCAGTTGCAGTCTCTGAGTTAACGTGTTCAGTTTGTGGTCTAAGTTCAGGTTGGTTTACACTTGACTTACAAAGTGAGAGCCGTCATCTACAACCCAGTGCCCTGCAGTGTCATCTGCAGCTCTTTGGGGAGCCCTTCTTTGGATAACCTGAAAGTTAGCAAAAGAAAAAAAAAAATGAAGTTTAGATATGTTATCTGAATGGTGCTCAGAAATCTTCAACAGCTGCAGTAGTTAGTGCCTTAATCATTCTAAAAAGTGTATGTTTCTTATCTCTCTGTGTTGTAAATCAATGTCATTTTCACAGCAACTAAAAACTGGTTAAAACACCCGTTTCTCTTATACATCTGGACAAACATGACAAACAAGAAAAATTAGGTTTCACTTAATGTTTCAGTTTCAGTTTCTGCTGGCTTAACTATTTATTAAAAACCCACCAAAACACAACATTTATCAGGTCTGTCAAGAAACCCAAAATAACAGGTTTCTGGTAAAACGGGAACATTTCGAAAATACTATGTAATCCTAAACTCTGATCTTTTCCAGCAGCTTTGGAATGAAACAAGTTGTGATTTCTGTGTAATATTCCATTCATTAAAATGTCACAGTTACATTGTTACACACTGCAGTTTGTGGACAAGTAAAAATATTTTCCTCTCTTAACAACTAATCAAATAACTTTGTAATGTCTTTAGACTACCAGCTGCAGTAATTTTGGCAGACAAACTGTGAGTAATGCTGACTGACAGATAAGTAAAAATAGATGAAAATAATTTTGTCTGCTTACCTGTTCGTGGTACTTCTGGTTTTGGAAGCAAGTCGACTCCAGAGCTGACATGTTTTTAATTCTGACTGCGCCCTGTCTGTCTAGAGAACGAGACCTGGGGGATCTGAGCTGACTGCGTAGGTGCCACGACATGAGCTGTTCATTCACTACTTGTTGTGGCAGACCACTGGAGCGGTAGTGTGGATGGTCCCATTGAGCTGGGGAGGGGGAGAGCCTGATATCAGGAGGTAAAGGCCTCTGTGTTCTCTGGTGGGGCACAGCTACGTCTTTATACCAATACTCATATCTGTTGGGAGGACAGGGAGCCTGCTGGGCGTAATAGCTCTGTGCCAGGTCTAGATCAGGTGGGTAGACCATTTCTTCATTATAATAGGCTTTGTGAAAACTGGGGCTGGACTGGTGCCTGGGATTATGGTAAAAGCCAGAGCGTGGGAAGGCTTGAGGCCCATAGTTGCCAACAGGGCTAGAGTGCGGGAATCCAGACTGATACCGTTTGGGCGAGTCACAGGGCAACTCCTGACACAGCGAGCTGTTGTAGGATGTAAACGAGTGTTCGGAATTGCTGTCTTCGGAGCTGGCATGGTTTCCATAGCTGCCCGCAGGTGGAGGAGTCTCTGGTAAAGTTATTGCGTATTCTGTCAGGCGCCTCCGTGGACCTCTGGTGCGACCACGGTTCTTTTCAAATGGAGATTCAGGGTTGGATAGCCTGTGCAAATCACACAAGATATGCTGTTAGAGAGCAAGTGCATTACTATGGCTATATAGCATACAAACTCAGCCTTTAAAGTATGCACATCTCACAGTCCCTGTGTGTTTTTTACAACTATGTGTGTGAAGGTGAATGATATTACTGTGACTTGCAGTTAAAGACAGGCTCAGTGTAGGAGTGCTGCTGACATACAGTACATGTAGATGTGTTGTGTTGGCTACCTGAGGGAAAGTTGTCTGTGCACGCGCATCTCTGGCGTGGAGGGCGTGCTGTTCGACTGGGTGCGGCTCAGCCTCAGATGGGAAAGTTGCATCGGCAGAGCAGACTGTGCTAAGCAAGCCTCCAACGGCGGCAGCAATTCACTTTTGGCTGGACTGCTGAACTCACAAGAAATAAGAAACACAAGAAAGTTTGTTTCTCAGTTCCATGTTTTTATGCATCAATACAATCTGAAATACTAATACTAAAATATCCAGGCATTGTTCATGATGATTAACAGTAGTTGTTAATCCACCGCACCGACAAAGAAGAATACGCATTATCGCAGGTTTTTTTATTGCAGCAACTACTGGGCAGTAAAGTCTGAACTCTACCACTGCGTCAAGGTGTCATTATAATTCAGTAGGATTTATAGTTTTGTGCTCCCACTGACTGCTGTAGCACGAGTGCAAAAGTAGATGGCAGTGTTGCACATAAATGTACACCACTGACATCTACTTTGTAATACAGGGCAGGAATTAAAGGGTTTGCACTGATATGATTTTGCTAAATTAGCTATTTTGTCCAGCATTGTTGAAAATAAAAAGTCCATGCTCCATGTTGTCTTCACGGTCAACAAACACTACCAACAAGTAAATACAAAGATAGCCTTGACTTTTGGACATTTTGAAAGGTGCACAATGTTTTGTTAAAGGCAGAAGTGGAGCATTAGGTTTTATATTATTTACTTTCATCGGCTTGTTTTTCTTCCAGCCTTTGCCAGAACTATTTCACTCACAAGCTTGTTAAAGCTACTAGAAGCCACAAAATCTGCATTTCACTCAGCTTTCTAAAATCCTAGTGCCACAAACCACACTGACTTATCCAAAACTAAAAACTTGATTAACAGGAACGGAGTCATGATGGATGGATCTGTGTTACCTCGTCTTGCTGGAGGAACGCGACTTCTTGCTCTTCTGGTAAGGTTGGTCGAGACTAGACTCTGTCCACGGGGAGTGCTGGATGGGAGGAGGGTCAAATGCAGGGCTTGAGGTTAAACTCCTAGAGTTGAGGCTTGGATGTGGAGAATGGATCGGGGTCAGTGGCTGTGAAGCCACAGATGGAGACATGTAGGAGCCGTCTATGAAGGACTGTGAGGACACAGGGGGAGGCTGGGGAGGGTCGGTCTCTCCTGGATACAGGAGTCCTGAAGATAGCTGTGATGACTGGCTTGTCACTTCTAGAGAAAAATAGAAATGATATAGTGTTTAGTGTGGATAAACATAGTTGATAAACAAAGTCTTTATAACCAAGAAACCAAGAGCACTGCAGTATTTAAGATGAATACATCTCTTTATGTGTATATGGCAAACTGCTTTGCTTTTAAATTACAAAATGTTGATCTTGTCCTCAACACTAGACTATAAAAAGCTTTTTTCTTTTCTTTTCTTAAAACTGGGTCTTACCTTCATCTTGCACTACAGAGTCCGACAGAGAGCTGTCATCAGATGTTCCCAGATCTGAAAGACAAAACCAGACAAAACACTTTAATATATACGTGTATCGGAAGTATTGAATGATACTTTTCTAGAATTTATGAAAAGCCAAGCTCTGTTAAATTAAGAATTATTCAGTTATGAAGTGTAAATCAATTCCTTATATGGACGATTGTGAAAGGGATTGACACAAACTATCCTCCAGTTTGGCTGGGTGCCTCTCACCTTGTTGTGCAATATTAAAAGCAGGGAGTGGTGATGATCGACCACGCTCCAGTCGCAGCTGAAAGGCTGTTTCTTGTAGTTGTTTAAGTTTCTTTTCCTCTCTCTTGCACCGCTGTAAGCGGCTCTTTTTGACAGCCTTACTCAGGTGACCCTCCTCGCAAAGCTTACGCTCAGCCTCAAATATCTTCATCTGAAGAGCTAACTCAGCATCCACCATACTCAGTTCGGACTCCTGTAAAGGTTACAGCAAGGTGTCAACAGTGTGACTTTTAAAACATTGTATGTCATTGATGTTCACAGATTGTTTAAAAATGACATTATTATTTCTTGCAGTGTCTAATGCTGCTCATACCTCTGCTCCTTGAGGGATGCTTTGTGCGTCAAGTTTAAACGCAGCACCAATACGTTTGCGAATCTGCGGAGGCTTCTCTCCAGGCAGTAGAGGGTAATCATCTGACAGCTGGCCTGTCAGCTCCTGAACAACACAGACAATATCAAAAATCCAGCTGTCCACAAACTAACAGTTGAACATGGCTAAAAGTTTATTTTTCTGAGGACAGATTGTACTTGGTAAATAGTTTTCAAACGCTACTAAATCCTTTCAGTTTAGTTGTTCAAACACACACGTCTTCAGGGGGTTTTTATTCAACCATGTCCGTGGCAGTTTTGAAATCATGTACAAGTATCTTATCCTGCTTTCCTTACATGTTGAGGCATATAGGTTCAAGGAATCTGTTGCATAATTCTGCGTTTGCAGAGATTTCCTTTCACAACACATTCTTTGAGTCTCACTTTCGCACTGTGTCGAGTATCCGTGTCCAAACCAAACCCAGAGCATCACAGTGCACCGTTACTGACTTCATTAAAAGAACAGCCATAAAAAAAACACTGTTACTTTGAGTCACTGCTAACCAGCCTGCTTTGGAGACAGACAAAAACGTTAATACGGCCAATAAGATTAGTTGTTCTTTTGTCACTAAGAGAAGGGAGAGGCATCATGCTTGCCATTAGTTCACCTAAGCATGTCCCAACAGGAGTGCCTAGCCTGAGTGTCAACAGGAAAGAATGATCAGTCCTGGGATTTTACCCTGGAGCACTGACGCATGGCAGAGATACTACTACTCGGAAATATGTGTCCAGTTTTAAAATGCCTTCATGTGGCAGTTTTCAGTCTTTAGTTAATAGTTCACAGTGCAGAGAGAGAAAAAGGAGGCAGGAAAATGAAGTGATGACATGTGACAAAAGTCTCATGCTGGATTCAAATCCCGGCAGTTATGGGAACACTGACATTTGCTTGGGCCAACTAAACCACCAGAGTACCTCTTCAAAAGCTATGATACATTAAAGAAAACCTCCTAGCAGCCACATTGCGTGGTCTAATTTCACTACACAATGTGTCTGAAAGGAAAGTGACGATGCTTGTATTCTGCTCAGTGGTAAGAGCCAAAATAATAACGTCACAAAGGACATGAGGAGAGATTAAAGGACCCTTTGTTTCCTCTCAGTGGAGTTCCTGGCAGGAGTTAACTACTGTGACATTAAAGTCCTGTTGACGCTGATGCAGACAACATTTTAAATGCATCAGTTTGTTGGACATTTGTGTGCACAAAGTCAATGTTTTTAGAACCACTGAAATGAAAAAAAACCCTCATCTTATGTTCGTGTGTGGACAACAGAGCAGAAAACTGCAATCTGGCATTAATCTGGCTGAAGTCAGTGGACATGTGGATACATCTCAGAAATGTCCTTCTTACAGGTTACTTTGTTAAGCCGCAGTTAAATGCGTCATCAAACAGCCGGCAATAAGCAACCCCACCTATTTAATGTTTTATAAAAGGCACTGAATCATGTGCAATATAGGGAGTACATTTTGTCACAGCGTGTCTAATTATGAAATAATTGTCTTTTGTTTAACATTGTCTAAGTCTACTAAAACCTTTTATTAATGAGCTTAGATTATCACGATTATGTGACTCGTTTGTTCTGTGACATGTTTTCAACTTAATCTTTGCCTGTTGGCCTGTTGATTCGCAGATTACTGTTACTTACAGCTTCTCGGATGCAGAGTTTCTTCAGCTCCAGAATGCAGATCTCCAGTCGTTCTTGGAGAGCCTGGTGTTTGAGCTTCATGGCCCGTGTGTGTGTGGTCACATCCTTCGTATGCGTCTTTGGGCTGTCAGAGCCTGCGTAACGCGACAGGAAAGAAACACATGGACTCACTAGAGATTATGTGACTGAAGTGTGACTGTTAAAACATTTGTTAATCGGTACACATAAAATATAAGTAGGTAAAGCTGAAACTTAAAGCACATTTCATTCCGTAGAGAAATACATCAAAACCTGTAGAAGCAAATGGGGACTTCAACTAATTATTACTTTCAATGTCACATCGTTAATAAATGTAATGAGAAGTGCCTTTCACTTAGCTTCTTTAACCTGTTCTGCAGTCTGAAACCCTCAATGGTAATAACTTTAATAAGATCATTGAAGAATTTTCTGTCGATTCAACAACATTTGTGGACAAAAAAAAGCATACATACATACACAAAGTTGCCAGTTTAATTGGTTCAGCTAACCAAACCTTATGCAATCCGATACAGACGCCCTGCAATTAATGCTACCTTTTATGGAGCTTATCAGTTTCAGTTTTTGTTGACATTTGTGACAGAGATGTTGACTCAACTCTGTCGTCATTTTGACTGTTTGGTGCTGTTGAATTGCAGTGCATTACACTAAAAGGTGTTTTAGTATCAATTGGCAACTCAGCCAACTATTTTTAAAAGCCAACCATAAGGAAATAATTACCATCCATGTAAGTAATATCTTTAATTTAGCTAGCTAGTCATAGGTCCAAGGTGTGTGTGGGAACATTAAAATACCTTGTAGAAGTTCAAAATCCTGTAATATTCAAAGTCCTTTGTGTTGATGGTCTTTGCTTTGCCATTTACTTTTGTCTGTTCCATTTTATTATAATTTATGGGGTTTCTTTTGTTTGTTTTCCACTTTGTAGGTACTCTGGATTGACACAGTGGTGTCCTACACATTATTTTAATTAGGAAGTGCACTCATATTGTACTGCTTCAGATACACTCTCGAGGCCACCACGGACAACACAATGGTTACATTCAACAGAACGTACCTTTTGTGTTTTTATCGTTGTTTTCATTAATGGCATGAAGAATGAGTGACAGGATCTTCGTAACTATAAACAATGTTTGAGTGTTCGACTGGTGCTGTCTGTAGCCTTGGTGACTAATGACATTAAGATTAGTCTCAGGGCCGTTGGAGTGGCTTCAGGCAAAAACGCATTGAGCACCACATACCGTCAGAGATTATTAACAGAGTCCCTGCAGGTATTTACAAACGTCGGAGGTGCGACAGGAAAGAAGTGTGACAGCACTACAATAGGGCCAGGAATTCCTCTTCCTAGAGCGACAATCCCCCTATTCTTTGTAGATCGACACTTTTTCATTGTATAGAATAGACATCACGTGGCTCAATTAAGGCGCAAGGAATGTCAGGAAGGCCAGAACTAATCAGTAGATACTGCTGGGCGTAGCAAGAACTAGACTACCACAGTTTGCTATGGTATTGTTACCATATGGGACTGAAGGACTGTGGAGCAACACATTCACTCGAGTTGCACCTGTTAAACTGATTAATGAATAAAATAATAAAATGTCAGAAAAGACTGAAAAATGTCCATCGCAACTTCCAAAATCTAGGATGGCGGATTTAAACAGATTGCCAGTTCATTTTCGATCAATCAGCTAATCAATAATAGACTAAATGTTTAAGCTATTTACAAAATATGTTAAACCTGCAAAATGGCTGAATTTTCTCTTGAACAAAATCTAATCTTTACACATGAAAGTCTGTCTAAAGGTCTTGGAGAGTACACCTGCAGCCTTTTGTGACTCCAGAGAAATTTTGATTGAACTTTATCACATTCCACGCATGCGGCGTTGGTTGGGATTAAAACTAAAATAAAAAAGTTAAAAAATGTTGGGGGGTGGAGAAATTAGGTTACCAGATCTCTGTAGCTCACTCCTCATCTCTGAGGTTCGAGGCTACGTTAGCCGCTACTAACATAACACACCTGAATCTCTGACCGTCTACAGTTGAGCTTCATTGCGGCTAAAAAAAAAGACAATACTTCTGGTTCTGCTTCAGCGATTTCAAAGACCATTTTATAAACAAATGTTCAGACTTCTGGAAAGAGGCAATCCCCACTTAAATCCACTTTCTGCAATTCAGTAAAGCAGTTTGTTTTCTACTTATTCTGGGTCTCATGATGCTGGCCATTGTCACTGATGGAGATTTCTAAGAGTGGTGTTGTGTTTACTGCTGCAAAGTGTTGCAAAGCCTTAGACAAAATTAATGGAAGAATATTTCTAAATGTAGCCCTGATCATCAAATTCAAAATGCTGCAGTGGCATTAGTGTTTATCTCCAGACTTTAGACCTGAAAATACTGCAGGAATAAGAATTCATCCATTTAACGACAGTTGTGCATTTCAGAAATCAGGGTGATGCAATAAATATTTACCTGAATGAAGGATGATGCCGCTGTCAGTGTCACTGATCTCTCCGTTGCCCTCCATGTCAGTAGATCGACTTCTGTTGCTGTTCTTCAGTAGAAAACGTCCACGTTCACCATTTCCTGTAAAGTATAGCTTCAGTTGTAGCATCCATTACAACTTTAAAGCTCCCCCCCATCTACATCAACATGCATTTCACTAAAGTCAAGGATAATTTGTGGTGAGGTTTACATTTTACATCGCTTAAAACTATTTTTTTCCACAACATTTGACTAACGTTTAACATTGCACATTGTTTTCTGTCATTTCCTGGATTATTGTCTTATGTGACAAATGAGTCCAGAAAGCAGCACAGTATTTAAGCCTCTGAGAATCCATTAAAGGTTTGGGAAACATGAAAAAAAAAAAAAATCATGTGAACATAAAATGAGATTTAAAAACAACTAGTCATTTGGCTACAAACAAAAGCAACCGATGTGTAGTCACAGATTTAAAGCCAAACAGCATTAACGCGAGCTTTCCAAACACTGCCCATTACTCAATCTTGTGACGTTTTGCTTGAGTGATTCAGGTGTGACTTGCCTTCTTGACCCTACAGTCAGGTGTAGTCATAGTCTCCCACATCATAAGTACACATACATGTTGCCAAGTCTAGGGTGCTTCCTGTGACAGCCTGTTTGTTAGTCTCTGATGTCATATGATCAGCATTATCTCATTGCTTCAGATAAGAGGCTCAGGACGCATGAGCCATATATTCAGCTGGTGTCAAATAAAACCTTAAAACTTGTTGGTTTGATTATTAACTAGGAGAATACAGGAATGTGGCGGTGGCTGCATACCAACACACATGGGAGGTGCGGTGGGAAGCTTCGCAGCAGTCCCTGTTTCGAGGAACAACTAAATGATGTGTAATCATGAGCTGCAACATACAGAGTTGTTTCTACCATTATGTTGGTCCAGTCCGATGGTGACGTTCAGGAATACAGGGATCCGTAAAATGAATCCTGAACATGACAGGAAGGTGATGCATCCTCTACACAGCTCATATGACTGTGACTGGACCTCCAGCTCCCAGATAATTGGCTGCTGTGTTTGCAAAATTAAGGCGAAAACAGCTTATGTACGGCTCTTAAATAACACCACCGACACTACAGTGCTCCACTCAGACTGAACAGTTTGAAAGAGAAATGTAATCACACGCTGGTTTTACAGAAATGTTATCTTTGGTATCCACAGGTACTTTTGGCCAACAACTATTAGTTACTACAAAAAATACTTTACCACATTCAATTTGGCAGGCGGTGATTTCAGTGCTGGTCAATGAGTCAAGATAATCCTACTCGAGCACTGGATTTTTAACACACTTTAAAACTACAAACAGCAGCTGGTGTTTACAGATCACATCACTTATCAATTTGATAACAGCAAGAAAATACAGAAATGAACCCACTAATGATCATTTTCATTATTTATCAATAAATACTTTTGTTTTTGATTGATTTTGATGACTTTAAATTGCTTTTTTTAAATCTGATCAAAAGCCCAAAATCTGAAGATATTTCATTTATTTTACATTACAGGATCATCATAGGTTTGCCATTTTTTGCTTTATGAACTACTTTCAATGATCAAAATAGCCACAGACTGCAGTGTTCACTAACTAACTGATAAATCAACTTATTGTTTCACAACTAAAACCCCCAAAATATGATGATCTAATGCAGAACTTATTAGGGGTGTTATAATTCTATTATTATAAAATAATATAACTGGCTGTGGCAATATTTAGTTTTGTGATATCGTATCAATTCTCAAAAATACTATTGATTTTTGCGTTTAAACCTCAACTGCTAGGCAACAGTGTTGTAAACATAAACTGAAGGCAATGATGTTAGATGTTGTTACTGTGATAAATACAAATGCAGATCTGCAAAAAGTGCAAATACTCATATTTTAGGTGTGTTGTTCGTAAAAAGAGCTAAATGTAATACCCTGCTTACAGCATCCGATGTATTGCAATACAATGAATCGTGACCCCTGTATCGTGACACCTAATGTATTGTATACTCAATATATCAAGTAGGTCATTTTATCCAACAATACACATGAAGTCACGCTGTACTTTAAGCGCTGGGGTTTTCATACATCTTGGAGTGTTTTAGGTTTTCCACTCAATAGTTTAAGGTTAACTGAAATCCCCTGAAAAACCAGCACAGTCTTATCCCTCCACCGAGGGAGGGAAGCGAAAGTACTACAGTAGTCTGATGCGCTGTATGCTGTCTCTTCATCAAAACATATAAACAACTCTCGTTCCACTTAGCAGCCTGTAACATCTTTAAAATGAATAATAAAATCTGTATCAGACCTTTTGTTGCATATTATATTTTCCAACAATTTCCCCTTTTTATATTTATATTTTTATATCATACACACAAACACAAACACTTAAGTACAAGCATTTCTTTGGCAATGGATTTAGAGAAATCAAACACTCAGAGAATGAGTTGTTTCTACCCTGAAGGTGCAAAGAAACTATTCTGAACTACAAAACACTAGCTTGAGGCATTTCTCCCTGTTATTATTAGTGTCAGTGTAAGTACCACAGACAAAACAATCACACCACACTCAATATGAAATATTACAAATACTCCAAACACAATGACAGCAATTCCACATTAACCCAAATTCTTCCAGAGGACGCTAGATGAATTACAAAAGCCACACAGTGCGTGGAACACTAACAATCAGATGACAAAAAAAAGATCTACTTACTTTATGAGAAATTTATGAAAAACTGTCAAAATCCAAAGAGTGAAAACTGTCCCTCAGTGTTCCCGACTTGAATGGAAATGCACCAAAGCCGAGCTGTGTAGAGTCTGAACAGGAATGAGAGACTCGCCCACTAAGAAAGCGCTGCCTGCTGAAGAGGAGTGGCCACATACAGAGGGCTGAACAGAGTCAGTATCATATAACTCAGCACTCCTGTCTGAGTTTGAAACTATGTCAACAACAATGGCAAAGATACTGAGGAATAACGCTTCACGTTACATCCTATCAGAGTCCTATAGATGGTGGTTGTCAGCCTTTTTGTGACAAACAAGGAGTTTAGAGACATCAGCCTCCAATCTGGACACAGATGATTGGCACTGTTTTTACAGTGTTCTGACATTTTATGGACAAAAGGATTAATTAATAATAAAAATATTAATTTGTTCGTCCACACGATGTTAGTAACCAACACGTTTGTTCACGCTTCAACTTAACAACTAATTTCCGGGTTGTGGGGCAACTTGAAAGGTTTCTTACTTTCAAGCATAAACAACAGTCACAATCATGCTTTCATCACTGATTATAAAAGATTATATGGCTTGACAACTCACTGTTGATGACTGTTGATGACTCTCACACACTCGAAATTTTCAGTGGGACAGTTCAAAGATCAAATATCTTCTACTGCCATCTCCTGGTTGCTCAAAGGGCCACGAAAAATGAATAACCAATTATACACTTGAACATTTACTAGCTTAGATTTGCAAATAGACCTTAAAAACTTCACCACTTCTCCTCTTACTTACAGACTACCAGTGCCAAGACCCTTTTTGTGGCCTGCCATTTTTGCCTCCACTAAAAAGAGGGAAACACATGGTGCGGGATAGTCGGCATGATTTACAGAGAGCCAGAGGCAGCACCTGCTCTGTAACTGCATGGCTCGCATTCATTCTGAATCTCAATATTCATTTTGGCTTTCCAGGAATGTTGGTGCTCAGACACTCTGTAAAAAAGGTCCTGCAGCTCCCAGACACCAAAGAATCTGATCTCCAATGACATGGCACCGAGAAGGAAGGGGATATTTGGCTCAGTAACTCAGGTTTCACAGTGAGAGCATCACTGGGGATGTTTCACAGATGGTTCAGGTTTTGTGTTGTGTTAATATTATATCTGATTTCTTGCATTATGCTGTATTTATTTAATGAGTGGCGAGTGAGCACTGGGAGCCTGTAGCAAAACGCCAGCTGTGGCACGCCACCTTCAATAAAGCTCGACCACTGCATTAACCAGGCCAATAGATCAGTCTGTATCAGCAAAGAAATGACAAGAAATGACAAGAAAGTAGAGAAACACTGTCACCATTTTATAGTTTATCTACCAGAAACTAGTGAAAGTTTGTTTAAAGTCAAGCCCTGTACATTTATCGGTCGACAAAGAAAATAAAAATAACCTTCACTAAAACAGATCATTCAAAGTAAAACATCAGTTTAGAGTTTATTAGACTCATGGAGATAAAAACTAATGAGGTCTACAACATACAACTGTATGGTCATTATGGAGGATGATGTTTGTGGTGCTGCTGAATTATACTGACAGGTGTTTCTAATGCCCATTCATATCAGTGAAGGTAGGTTAAATAACAGAAACACCACTCTGTATAAAGCAATACAGTTCAACATCAGCACAAACTGCAGCCTCCAAAATGTTCATAAAGTTGAGTGAACACCTCCCAAAAACACACACAACATTGTAACCTTCGTGACAGTAAGATTTGTTGTACTACTTTTAGTCAGGTGCATTTAAAAAGAGCCACAGGGTGCAGGTAAGGCTGAAGGGAGGGATATTACCTAGCACCTACTAGCTCACACAAGGTTAAGAGAACAAAAGAGCAGCAGCCGCGTCTTGTGTAAACAGGCTGCATACCAAGCAATGTGATAACCTAAAATCAGATATAAGGGAAGTGCAACTATGCAAATGATTAATAATCTCTTCTGATCATGGGAAACTACAGTTACACAAACACTACCGCCACCAGCCTTGTACTTGCCCTCCTCAGAGGGAGCTGAGAAAAAGCTCAGACACATTTTAAGTGCGACACTTCAGAGCTTGAAGGAAATCAACTGTATCACAATCTCCCTCTTTCAACGAGTGTGCCATTAAGTCCATCATACTCGATGTGAAGACTAGTTAAACAGCTTCCCACTACACTGATGTACAACTCAGACACTTGTCCAGTGTTTAAAGTAGCCAGTTGGTGGATGTCATGGGTAGTTTATATAAACCAGAGGTCCCTGAGAGACAGAGCGAAGGCTTTGTGTAGCCAACACAGCAGCTGGCACAACAAATTCTTTACATATTCTTGAGTCCTTTTATAAGTGTACGGCTAGACTGCTGCTGCCAGTGTGTGGAGCCATCAGCTGCCAGCCAGGGGATCAAACATTATCCCTCAATATTTTGCTGCTCGGCTCTTTCACAAGGTGCTAATCGATTATTCAGCTGTAATGATGCTTAAATCAAGGTGGAGTCATTAAAAAGTGCTGTAAAGTTACACTAATGTGCTACCAGTCCTTAAAGCTTTAAAAGGCAAACAAAGCGACTCTTGGAGCTGCCGGGTTCGCTCCCACCTCTCTCTGCCTGCAGCCAGCTTTAAGTTTTATGTTGCCTAAAGGCTCTAATTGACTATAATAAAGATGGGAAAAAAACACTACGTGTATCTCCAATGAGCCGGCGTGCAGATGTGGCGTGTCTGATGTGGATTACTGAATTAGAAGTTTGCGCACCACCAGGCACATCAGGGGTCTATTCTAAACTGTGGCCAAGCCCCGGAGACGGGCGGAGAGTGAACACGCTTAAACACATCGACACATTTATACATAAAGCTCCACAGTATAACAGCACTGAACTCATAGAAGATATATGATGTTTATACTGAGTGAAACATTCAAACCAATGACCCAAGATGGTGTTTTTTTGTGGATGTACTATCACAAACTATTGGAGATAGATTAGTTCTGTGCATCTGTTTATTCTAATTTCTCCAGAGTTTAATGTGATATATGTGGTGGTATCTCTGGAAACTTTAGGCTTTAAATAAACTTATAGGGCTGCAACTTATTATTATTTGCATTATTGATTAATGTACTGTCATTGTTTAATCACTAGAAAACAGGGAAAGAACGTCCATCCCAGTTTGTCCGTCCAAAACCTAAATATATTCAGTTTACTGTGACAGAGAAAAGCTGTAAAACTTCATATTGGAGGAGGTGAAAACAGCATTTTCTGCCATTTCTGCGTGAAAAATTACTTTGATTTATTAACAATCGATTATCAATTTAGTTGGCTATTATTTTTCAGTCTATCGACTCATTGATGAGTCAATTGTTACAACTCTATAATGTTGTACGTTTGGTAAAAAGCTTTGCTGCACAGCATGAGTCTGTAATGACTAATGTCACTGAGGTTTCAGGGGTTAAGCCACTTCTGTCCCGGTCAATGATCAGGAATGTGTGGACAGCAGAAATATTTCAACGCACAGAAATCAGACTAAGTAACCTTTACAGATATTAAAAGTTAAAAAACATCAGTAGGTTTCAAATATGTCTCCTGCAAACAACTAAACTGGTTAAACTACCATGTTTAGTTGCAATACTGAGTGTGAATTCATGCAAGACATTGTCCAATACTCGCGTCACTTCAGTCTCATTGTTCCTCTCAGATACGCCCTCTTTATAAATGCTGTGTTTCTGCTAAAAGAGGATGTTGAGAGCTTATCACTTCTCTGCCGGCCAGTGCAGTCATATCTTTATAGAGTTTACGGTACAGCTTTAAACTTTAGTTCTGTTTTACTTCCATAAAAAAAAAACAGGCACTGTCCATGAAACCCAGGCTTATTACAGAAAGAAGAAATAAAAGTAAACTAAAGAGTGAGAGAGAGGTATGAGGCAGAAATCTTCTGGTTCAGTGGTTTACCTCCATGTTAAAGTTAAAACTAATGTTTAATGGATGTAATATAAATACACACCTGTAATGTACACCTGAGTACTGTGGCTGTGAATGTGAGTAGTATTTACACAATAAAGTAAAACAGTAAAAGACACAAACTCTGGAGCAGCTTGAGAGTTGAACAGATAATGTTATTACATTTCTGTGTGATAAAATGAACACATTAAAGATAACTTTTGGTGTCATCCAACCCGTTGCTCAGCTGGGTCCATTAAGCTGCTGGGCCTCGGATTTCAAGAGTTTCTCAAAGTTTAGAAACTCGCTTTAGTTGTGAGTCTTTCCCAAAGCTTCAACTCTCCAATCTCAAATACTTCTCTTCAAAAGAACAATTAGTTCAGCAGCTTTAGTAAAAAAAACAACCCATTGCGCACATGCATTTAAAGTCTTTTGAACATAAATCCTCTAGTGCTTCTGCTCTTACCTTGGTAGCTTGTTAGCAGCTAGCATCGTGCCCCATCTGCATCCATATCTGCTCTCCAGTGGCTCTCCCACATTAAAGCTGGAACTTTATTTCTATTTACATTGACACATAAACAACGCTAACTCCCCGAGTTAAGTCTCTGTGGTCCAAACGAGAGGATAATTTACAGCACGAGTTTGTAAATAATGTTTTACTGACCAAAATGCAACTTTTGTTTGAGAGGCTACTTTCAGAGCCCACTAAGTTAAAGCAATGCTGTGCTGCCTTCACGGGCTGTCGGAAACGTGACCGAGCTAACAACATCAAGGATTTACCATGGTAACCGCGTCTCTGACACGCGACGTATGCCTATAAATGGACACGCACGTTCAGTAAAATTGTCTAAGTCAATAACATCATGGTGGAAGTGATCAATACAACCCAATACTGTTGGATATTGATTAAGATAATATTTACGACTCATGTCGATTTCGCATTTCTCAACTCTGATCCTTTGATATTTGGAGTTCTTTTATCATGTCGCTTAATTACTAAAATAAATCAATAACTATCATGTAAAATAATTGCTCGATGGGTCAGTGTGCTATTATAGTAATGCAGTGGCACTTCAAAGGGATTAAAGTTAGATTTACCACTATAGTCGTAGGAATAACGAGTTTGAAATATGCCAGTGAACGCCGCATTAATCACCCGCTGCTGTGTGGGCGGTTTACGGGCAGTAGCCTCGTTTCGGGGTTAGTCTGACGATTTTGACGTCAAAAACGCTTAATTATTACTCTGAAATGGTCAAAGTGAGTTTTTATAACAAAGCATGACAACATGTATTGAAGTGGACCAAAAGTAAAATGATCTTTTGATTTGAACCACTAGTCGGCAGCAGTGCGTTACACAGATTTAATCCTCTGAACCACGTGATCTTCACCCAAACACTGCCTGCCAGGGGCCAACCATTAACAGGGTATATAATACTATATACAACATATTTATGTGACCCAAGACCGCTTTTGATACAGTTAGCCACCATTAAATGCTGCATTAGTGTCAACACTGCTGGTGTCCTAACCCCTTTGTTCCTGCAAATGAATCAGTAGTTAAAGAAAATGAAAGAATAACAATGAAATCTACTGTAAGTTAAACAGATAAACATTAAAAAACAACGGCACAAAATTAGCTAATTTTGACCAGACAATTTCTAAATAATATATATAGTAATAATATAATACACTGCAGTATTACCTGTGCACTGAAATGTTAATGCACCCAATAATACCTTCAGATCAGAGCTCAAACTGAGATGATATCAAAATCACAATGACTGTGACTGACCAGATATGCGTACACATAGTTTAAATCCTTGTATGTGTACCCATATGTGGTCAATATATCTACTGATATAAAAATACACACGCACACACACATATATATATAGATATGAAGCTACAATAACATTTACATACAGTAAAACAATGGTGCAGAGTGCAAAGGATGCTGAAATAAAATTAGATTTATGTAGTAGGTTGCTTTATATACATGAGGCAGGTGAATATATTCTTATTAGATATTTGACATATTGGCCCATATCATAACCATAATAATCCTAAATGAATAATTCACAAACAAATTGGCTTTACAGACCTCATATGACCAACTAAACAAATTTCAATGATGTATGATGACTCTTGGCCACTCTTTAGACTTTAACGTTAAGAACTTACTGAGGTTCATTATTTGACCTAAATGACGCACATCTGCTGCATTTTACAAACCACCACCCCAAAGCCATTCACGCAAACAGACGCTTTTACCCAGTTAACATTTCAAGACACATTTATTAACTGATTGTGACTAAATGTTGTTCTTTGAAAACAGGATTAACTGATCATCACTATTTTTCTTAACATGGGACACATCATTTGACTCTGTAATGAGTTAGACTATCAATATATTTACAATCACAACCAAAATATTTGTTCTGGTTTGTCAACACATAGTTTTTTGCTGTTAAAATAGTTTTTCATATTTCCCAAAAATTTAGTCCAATATCCACATGAGCTATTTATAGCTCATCCTGTGATTATTGTTTAATTATGTTAACAGTGTTGATGAAATCACGTCTCCACATGGAAAAGTCTGATAAAAATATTTTTTTAACTCGCATAGAGCGATTAATTTTAGTCGTTTTTCAGAACTTAAAGACCTGATTTGGTGAAATTTAAGTTACTATAAACTTGCAATGTGGTGCGCTGTCAGTTAAAACCACTTAATGTTTTGTCATAGTGTGATAGCTTGACCTCCGTACATGTATACATCTCATTCAAAATGTTATTGTGGTTCAAGTCCTCATCTAAAGGTAAAAAAAAGTGTGTGTTTCATCACTAACTTACTTCCTTGTTTCTTGTTTCAAGAGCAGCTTGCAGAAACAACAACATTAAACCACATCTATCTCAGTGGTTTTGTTTCCCAGGCTGTCAGTTGTTTTGAAAGCATCTGAAACCAAGATCCTTCAACCTGTTTTAAAGGGTCTTTTAATTGTTGGGGAAAGGATATGCATATTACTGAAAACATGGTTCACCACCTGGGGAAGTTTCAGTATGAACCAAAGTTATGACGCCCTTTTGGGTCGTTATGACAAACTGCGGAGAAGATTTGTTGGAGTACCAGATGTCAGGTTGCTCGGGCAGAAATAAATAATTTATGACATTTAAAACCTTCAGCATAAGTTCTCCTCAGTGAGCTCACTTTGTACTAATCTCATTCAGTTTCAAGCTGAAGTTTTAAGGAACAAGGAAACCACAGCCAATCACATGACCTGCATCTGAATTGCAGCGCTGGCATGGCCTCTGTGTGAACGTTCATGTTGGTGGTTAACAGTGAAATACATACACATACATCACAATTGTGCTGTGCTACGTCTTTAAATTCAGTGAAGCTGTACCTAAAGGCAATGTTGAAAAAAACAAACACCACAAATGTAACATTATTTTGTGTATGCACCTTTTTTCTTTCTGTTTATGTTAAACTTCAGGTAAGTGATATTTGTACTGAGGAAAGAAATGATTAATGATATGATTATGGAAAAGCTTTCACTCATAATTTTGTCTTCATTCAAACAGAGAAGTTCAAATATTGTATCAAGTGGCTGTAATGCCTCATTGAAAAAAAACTATGAACACAAGAGTAAAAGACCATTACAGGAAAATACATGCGAAAACATAAGATATAATAAAACAAGTAGAGAAGAGTCGTTAGAGGATCAGTGTGTCGGATTTAGATGCATCTAGCTGTAAGGTTGCAGATCGCAACTAACTGAACACCGCTTGCGTCCTACCTGGGAATGAGGAAAAACTACGGTGGCTGTGAAACTCACGTTTTGGGCTGTGGTACAAACATGGCAGTTCAACATGGCGGACTCCATGGAAGGGAACCTGCAGCATCTATAGATAAAAGCATCAACAAAAACACAATGATAACTATATTCAGGTGATTATACACTAATAAAAACATACCTATGAATATTTCTGCCAATAGATTCTCTTAAGTGTTACACACTGGACCTTTAAGTTGATAAGCTGGCTGCATAATGTTAAAGTTTGCTAATGTTAGCTCCCAGCTATGATCATACCTGTCCCACTGTTAGCCTGTAGCAGTATGTTAAACTGAGTATGGGTTAATTTTTATTGCTGATAAATTCAAGTTTTTGAACAAACCGGGAACATTTTTACCATCAAATATCATCAAGTTTCTTTAAAATCAGTGTATAAATGTTGTATCTTCCAGCTCGAGCTGAACCTGTAGGTTTATATATACTCAGTAACACAGTGATTGTGCCCCAAATACTCATTTTACAAGTTGAAGGCAAGTTCACGCATCGAGGAGCATGACTGATTTAGTGATAAAAATCAAAGTTTTGAAATGAAAGTAAGACAACCACCACAGACAGGGGTGCAGTACCACTGTGAGAACGTTTTGTAGTCTTAACAGAAACTGACTGAGTGCCAAGGCCTCACCTTTCACTTTGAATGTACCAGACTGGCAGAATAACGGTCAAGTCATGAGCACATTTTTGTTCTTAACCAGGTGGCATTTCTTATATTACTATTTTACTATTAATTCAACAAACCAACAAAATCAGCAACACAACAAATCTGCATACATTAACACTACTTTATTTCACCTGTGTGAAACATTTCCCACAAATTCATTTAATACAAATGAGCAACTGTTGTCCATTACTGTCATTGCATATCGGCATGAGTAAGTCATGACTAAGTGTCCTTGAGTAATTCGCTAAACCTCAAGCCGCATGTGCCTGGCATCACACTTCCCCTGCAATCGATGTGTGTGTGTGTGTGTGTGGGTGAATGCAAAGCTTGGAAACTGATCTGTTTGCTGGGTAAAACTACAGTAATTAACATATTAAACTTAATGTTCCTGTTCACAAAACAAAATCAGAGGGACAGTGAGAATTTGGTACAGTTTTGTCATAAATATATAATAAAACTGATTTCTTCAAGCTTAAGATGTCACCTAATCTACATTCCTGCTCACCATCATTTGCACCCCTTCATTTTTTGCATAACCTCTACAATATCTTCAGAAATAAATAGAAATGTACCAAATTTATATCATCAGGATCTTTTAATTGGAGGTCCAACTTTAATTAACAAACAAATTAATTTAACAAAGAAAATTGTTTTTTCAACTTACATATTGTAATTTCAAAGAAGAAACAGAAAAAACAGCATGTACAGCAATAATGGCACCCCTCTTTAGTATTTGGTTGCACACCCGTTGGCAGTGATGACAGCCTCCAAACGTTTCTTGTAGCCATCTATAAGCTTCTTGCACTTCTCAGCTGGTATTTTCTCCCACTCTCTCTCAAGGTCTTGAACATTTGCAGGTTTCTTTTCCCCAATGGCAGATTTCAGCTCATACCAAAGATTTTCAATCGGATTGAGATCAGGACTCATTGCTGGCCATTTTAAAACAGTCCATTTTTTCCTTTTCAACCATTCCTGCGTGCTTTTGGATGTGTGCTTTGGGTCTTTGTCTTGCTGGAGGACCCATGATCTTCGACTCAAACCAAGTTTTCTTACACTGGGTAGGGACATTTCGGCTCCCTAAAAAATCTTCTTGATAATTCTCGGTGATTTCATGATTCCTGTGATACGGTCAAGGCCTCCAGTACCAGATGCAGCAAAGCAGCCCCACAGCATTATGGATCCTCCACCATGCTTAACTGTTGGTAGGGTGTTCTTTTCCTTGTAGGCTTCATTGCGCCGTCTGTAAACAAACTGTTGGTGTGCATTGCCAAAAAGCTCTATTTTTGTTTCATCTGTCCACAGAACATTTTCCCAGAAGGATTGTGGTTTGTCCAGGTACTCTTTGGCCAAAGATTAGTCGTTCTTTTTTATGTCTTTTCCTCAGCAATGGTGTCTTCCTTGGCCTTCCCCCATGAAGCCCTGTTTGGTTTATGCTGCGGCGTACTTGTTGAAACCATGACCCCAGACAGTTCCAGGTTGGCCTTCAGGTCTTTGGATGTTTGACGTGATGTTTTGTCCACCATTTGCACCAACCTTTGAAGACTTCTCTCATCAATTTTCTCTTCCCCCCACGTCCAGGGAGGTTCTTGACAGTTCCATGCTTGGCAAACTTCTTAATAACATTACGCACTGTTGAAACAGGGATACCAAGGTCTTTGGAGATGGCCTTATACCCTTTGGAGGTCTTGTGTTTGCTAATTATCGCACTTCTGATGTCCTTAGACAGCTCCTTTGTGTTCACCATTGTGACAAAGGAACAGGGGATAACAGATGGCTTTTTAAAACATGGAAGTCATCATTCATTGACTAATTCATGTCATATGGGCACAGACAATTTATCACAGGTGATCAGATATATAGATGATTTTTGATTTACCACTACAACACAATGTGTTTCCATACTGATTTACAGCAAAGGGTGCCAATACCAGTGACACAGCAAGCTTTAAGTTTTTCTATTTTTTCCTCCCATTGTTTATTGTTTTAAATTGTTGTTTATCATTTGCTTTTTTGTATCAAACACGAGTTCTCTATAGAACAGAAATGTTTCACTTGATTCATTTTTTTTAAGAAGGTATTCCACATTATGTACTTAAACTTCATGGGTGCCAATAATGGTGAGCAGGACTGTAATTGGTCAAATTCAGTGGAATTGAAAGATGCTTCACTACATACATACTCAGAACTCTAATTGCATTTATTACAACTTCAAAAAAATCAACGTTTCTTCCTCCTAAGGAAGGTTGTTTTATGAAACATCGATCTTTACAAATTGAAATAAAAATGCATCACATTTAGCAGCTTTCCATCCTCTTGTTCTGATGTCAGCCTGTGAGACAACACCTGTGTCTGTATTCTGTCAATTTAAAAAAAATAAAAAATAAAAAACACTGAAAAATAATAGTATTTATGCTCCCACTGAAAATACAGATCAACTAAAAATAGCAGCTGGTTTAATGCTCATGCACACATGTGCATTCTTACATTTGGCAGTCAGTGCAACCAAAATAAAATACTGAGCGCTGTGAGAAAAGCTGTTCACTGGGCCTCTATGATGGCTTTTTTTAAGCAGGTGTTGGAAATACGTGACCCTGTGCACCCACAGCCTGGCATCAGACCTGGTTTTCTCAGACCAACCATCACGCATTCATGACACAAATGAGACTGAAAAAGGAGTGGGCGCACATGAACATTTGAACTTTCAAATACCTGACTTCCCCTCTCTTTACCACTCATGAATACTTTTTTTTTTATCAGATGATGAAAAGTAGTTTTAAAAATACCAGGGAAACTTTGTGCATGTACCATGTAGTTGTCCTCTCAGGAAATATCACAGATAGCAGATCTATGCTGCCAGATGTTTTCATATTTGCTGTAAGGTGAAGGCTGATAGCTTTTGTTGATTGGTGTCTTAGGTAAACCTCATTTAGAATTACTGCCAGTGTGCCTCTTTTCATGCTTTGAAGTACTTTCTTTGAGCATGTGAGAATTTCTACCATCTTCAGCTCTATTAAATGTTGTTTCCTGTTGCAGTCAGACACTTGGCTGCTTTTGGGTTACTTGTGTTCTCGCGTTCTTTTTTCAATTCTATCTTTTCCTTTTGCAAAGCCCACATGTGATAGTATGATAGACATCATATTTCACACCTCCTGTGCTGTTATACAAAATACTTTTTATGGTTTGTTTATTTATTGTCCTCTGTGCACACAGATGATAAGAAGATGATGAACAAAGTCAGTCAAACCGCACACAAAGTGCACAAAGTGGTAACTGGTAAAAGACAAAATCAAAGTGATTTATAATATCTCAGAAGTAAGTAAGCAGAGACTGTCAATGTGTTTTTCACAAGATAAAATATATATAAGCTACATTGCCTTTATCATCACATTACATTAGAGAGTACCACAAGAGAGCGTTATATATATATATTACTGCATTATTACATCATTACACTGGATATAATAGCATTAATATTTCTATTACTACTGTAAGTCTTTTTATTTCTGATTTTATATTATGGAAAAGCTTGTTATAAACTTTTGGGCTATGATGTCTCTTTTTATACATATATATGACAATGTGCCAATTTTTGGGTGAGCAGTATGGAAACCTGGTATATTATTATATAATGATTAAATAATACAATTATTATATTAATAATACAATTATGATCTTCTGTCATTCTTAATTAACTGTTTTTGGGAGATATGTTTTCATTTGATTCTCCAAGGAACTATAAAACACCAGTTTTGAATAACAAATACACAAAAAAAATTGTTTTCAGCCTTTATTTTTGAAATGTCAATTTATCACAATATATACATTTCATTGCATTTTGTAACATTATGCAAACATTTTATAGTAAAAACATAATTCAATTCTTGCCTTCAGTACATAAAACAATTCACACAAAAAAGTTATGTTGCACATTTAAAAAAGTATATTTAAACCTGTAAATTAATGCATTTTCCTAACTAATGCTGCAAATTTTTTTTGTTTTTATACAAAAAAAAATATATCAGTGGATACTTCCTCATATATCAACACTACTGTACAATATTGTATACTGTAAGCAGAATGGAAAGCATATAATAATAATATTGTAATAATAATAATAATAATAATAATAATAATAATAATAATAATAGGAAAAAGAGAATAT